TCTGCTGGGCTCCCCCACTTAGGGAAGGAGAAGACGGCCTGAGCGAGAGCCCTGAGCGTCTCCGTGGTGGCAGCTACCGAGGCAGCCCCTTCTCAAGCAGCAGCAGCAGCAGGGCGGGCGGCCTCCGCTGTTTTAAGGAGCTTAGAGCGTGCGTTCGTCGGGGCTGAGTAATTGTTCGCTGTCCTTTTGCTCTCCTAATCGCTGGGCTCATGCGGCAAACACGATGCTTTAAGAACAGCGCATCCTCTCCCGCCTCCCCCCCGCCTCGCTGGTCCCCCTCCACTGGACCGTGCAGTGAAGGTTGAAAGGGGCTGGGCCGCGGCCAGGTTGTTTAGCCGGATGCCAGCCGGAGCGGGCAGCGGGATGAAGGGACCCGGTTGCTTAAACCACTGGCCTGCCCAAGTGAGGTGCAGCAGACGAAGACAGATTTGGGAAAGCGGCAGGGGCTCGGAGCCCAGGGCTGTGCCTCTTGGGACAGGCCCCACTGCTCCTCCAGAACATGCTGCAAGACGGCTGTACTTCATCTGGCTTTTAATTAATGTTTCCCATTTAATTAGCAACCGCCAGGATGGGGGAGTTTTCCACCAGGGTGGGATTGTCCCACTGAGCCACGTCTGTGTTTTTAGCTACGTCGAGTGGCACCCATCCAGCGTGTAGCTTGGCCTTGTGGGGGGAAAGCATTCGAGCACTGATCTAGCTCAGGATTAGCAGAACGGTGTCCAGAGCGCTGCAAAATGGGTGGCTACGGCTACGACTCGCAGCGGGACCCAGCACTGGGACGAGGACGGGCTGATGGCAGCTCCAGACGTTTTCACTCTTCGACGTGGGCCCATCTCCCCTTCAGCTGTGAGCCTGGTGTGACACGTGCACGTTGGACTCGATTTGACACGCTGCCACGCATGCACAGACCTTGCTGTCACGTGCCGCAGCACTCAGGGCTGGTGCTTTTCCAGGAACTGCTCGCACAGCCCGTTCCACGTTACTCATCGCCTCTAGCTTAGAGCAACTCAAACTGCACCAAGCTGAAGTGGGAGCAGGCTGCAGAGCCGCTGTGGGATGCCTCACCCCAGGGTCACAGGGCAGCTGATGGGTGCAACCCAAAAGGGACCCTCAGCACCCCTCCTAGGCCCACCCCTAGGCTCACTATATAGATGCTACCAAGGGGCAAGTGAACACCTGAGCCATGCACATGGGAGTGTTGCAGGCAGTTTTGCACCATTTAATCCTGAATTCACCCTTGCCAGATGTAAATTAACCTGAAGTTTCATTGCCTTTTGATTTCTTCCTGGTTCAGGAGTAACAACCATGATTCCCAGTTTGCTTTTCTCCCATGTTTTGCTTGGTTCACCTTGTGCCCCCGTCACATTGTCCATGTGGGTAGGATCTGGTTTGGCTGAAGCAACCTTTTTCCTTTCCCAGCATAAGAGATTCTGCTTTGGTTTCTCACATATTCATTCAGTCATCCTCCAGATGATGGCAGAGGGCAGCGAATAACAGCGTGTTCCCCTGACTTGGCGCGCCAATTCCTGCACGAGAGGCTGCTTTGGACAAACGAGAAGGAACCTGAAGGAAGGCAAGAGACCATAAAGGAGTACGGAGGAGCACTGAGGCTGGCAGCTGACACAAATAACGTGCCTGTGCACAAATCAGCAACACATTCACATGTATAAATATATACCTCAATACACACGTGCAGATAGGTCTTCGTTCTAAAATGTGCAGCCCTTGACATCTATTGCAAAGATGGGCTAAGCTCAAAGTCCCCTGAGGACAAGTGAAAGAGGTGTGCAGAAGGTACGAGCAGACCCCCGGAGAGGAACGTGGGACACAAAGCGTCACAACAGGGAGAAAATAAGGCTACAGACATCACCATCATCCAAAATAGGCCTATGCAGATTTATTTTATATATAAAAGATACAGCTGATATCACAAAATTCAAAGGGAAAAATAAACCTGATTCAGAAGCACAGCATTCTCATTAATAAAATAGGCTTTTATCCCTACTGAGGTGTCTGGTTCGCCGCAGCGCACAGCCTGGAGTCTCCAGCCACGTGCCGGGCAGAGGCTCATGCAGCTGCCAGCCCTTCAGGGCTGTGGCAGGCGGGATGAGAGAGGGGCTGTCAGGGGCTTCCCTGGGTTTTCTCTGGTGGCAGGAGGACAAAGTGCACCCCCCTGCCTTGGGCTCTGTGTAATCTGGTAGCACATTCGGGGGGTCCACGCTAGGGTCCACACCCTTGTCCCGAGACAAAGTCTGCAGGGAAGGTGCCAGGCTCAGCGGGCATTCAACATCTCTGTCCACCAGCGCTAATCAGCAGAGGTGGAGCGTCTTTCCTTAAGCAATGACCTCAGCATGGTATGTCGTATACCGGCATCTCCCAGAGACATCGCCAGCCCTCTGCCTTCTCAGCCAGGGAAGGACCCTACGTTCAGACCCATCTCTTCACCCATGTGCACCCAAATCCCTGCGTAAAGGGAAGCAGGTCGTCTGAACAGCTCACAGCAGCAATATATGTGGAAAATGGCTACAAAACAGAGCTGCTGCAAGAACAGCATCCTGAGCAGAGACACAGCTTTCTATTTGCACCTAGACATTCCCCGCAGCATGTGCCAGTGCGTACGGACCAGGGTCCCCCTCCCCGCTCCGCTTTCCTCTCCTCATCTCTCGATCCAAGAGGAGCCATGTCAACAGCCCTTCCTGGAGCCATCTCCTTGCATGCGAGTGGTTTGCACAGACTCTCTCTCACCAATGGGTATCCCCTTAATGCAGACTCTTCGTGCCAAAATGACGGCACGAGCAGCACTTGTGGGTATCAATGTTTTGCAAACGCCGGTGCAGAGGATGCGTGGATAAGACACCAATCAAACACCAGCCCATGCTGCCTCCCTGCATCCTCCTGCTGCCGAGATGTCTGGAGGGCAGGGGGGTTTTAATCACCAAACAACTCCAAGTGCCTGCGGGACGGGTCCAAAGCCCAGTGGAGTCACCTCACAGCAGGCTTTGGCTCAGAGCCGGGCATTACTTTGCCTCATGCACCATCAACCTCAGCTCTGGCCTCAGCCTCGCTGCCCGGGGGATGGACCCACGGTGCCAGGCCCAGGCCTGGACCCCAGCTGTAGGACTGCTCAGCGTAGGTGTCCTGGGCACTGCAGGGAAGGTATACAGAGTCATGGCCACTCGCCTCATCCCAAACCAGCTCTGCTGATGCCAGCACCGACAGATGCACTAGTGCAAATGGCCATGGGCTCTGTGTCAGGCAGGCCTTCTCAGGCGAGTGAGGGGATGCACGTGGGCTCCCAAAACAGGCTCTGAGAACAGTCCTGATCAGACCCAGGCAGTTCTGGCAGGGGTGGTCCCCTCCCCAGCATATGCCAGGTAAGGCGGCCCTGCTGAGCACCACCTGGCTTCTGCCTGACAAAGAGAAACGGTCCCAGAGGCTTTGCCTCTGCTGCCCCCTGAGCGATGGCTGAGCCTCATGACTGAGGCACTGCAAAACCTCGTAAACATTTTCTGCTAGAAATACACTCAACATTCAGCATGAAAGGAAACCCTGGTGTCCCTAGGTGGAGGTGGCAAGAGGACGGGTCCAGGAGACAAACGTGGCATCGGCTTGGCCCGGCGCGGGGCCCAGAGGCTCTCACCTCCATTGCTCTCGATTCTGTACTTCAGTGTAAAAAACATAATTGCAGACATTTCGCTTTTCATGCTCCCAAGCTCAAGGATGTCTCACAGAGGGCTGGTGACTGAGTTCACCTGACACCAATGTCTGTTGTGCATCAACAGGGCATTCATTTCCTGCATATTTCCTCTGGCGACAGTTTTCTGTTGGAATTCACCTCCTCCCCTCAACACGTTATTCAAAGTCCTCGGTGATTCACAGCTTCATCATGTGATCGCTGGAATACTAATGAGGGAACTGTTGATTTATTGAAGCCCTGATATTTCACCACTGGATTAAACAGTCTATAAAGTATATTTGGACACATTACAGGATTAAAAGAATCCACTGGGGAAGTTTGCTTCCTCCCTCCTCCACTCTCCTGGAAGGAGAGACTTTATTTCAAGGGCAAAGCGAAAGAGCCCTGTGGATTTCTGCCGTACCGTGTATTGCAGGGGACTGCAGCCACGTCGCCACCTCACCAGGCACTTGTGGAGCACAGGGCTGGGACTGCCACGTCTCTCCGGAGGGTCCACGACCTCTTAGTAGTGATACACTTTAATCTGGTTGTTTTCGTCCAGCCCAAGCTGCACCAGGTCTGGGCTGCTCACAGACAGCTTCTGTGTGCTTGGGAAGAGAGGCCTGGCAGGCTGGTGAAGGAAAAGCCTGGATGACATGGGGGAGACGCATGCATGGACATGGCAAATGGGCCCCGTACCTTGTGCTTATATGCCATATGTAGACCTCTGGCCTCCAAGCCAGCAGCATTAAAGCAGGATTAGCAAAAGGCTCATGGAGCCAGGACAGCTTGCTGGGGCCGTGCACGTGCTGCATGGGGGTGGTCTGCAGCCCCACAAAACACTGCAGGCAAAGGGCAAGCTAGGCGGCCTGGAGGCATCCCCCTCGCGGCAGACTTTTCTCTAGCAGCTCTTCTCCCCTCCCACCACCTGCCTGATGCAGGCCCTGTGGTCTCTAGCCGTAGGGGTTCTGAGCACCTGCGAAAGAACCTGCTCTGGGAGGAGCCCTGTGATGCATCCTCCTGCAATGCTGCTGGCTCCCCTCCTCCAGAGATGCTGCAGCCCCCATCGCTCAGACACTGGGCTTCATCCAGGCATCTCGATTCTGACTTACCGCCACCCTGTGCCTCTTCACCAGCACCTCACGAGAGACCGCCAGCACCACAAGCCCACGTGGTGGCCCCAAAGACATGAAAGCTTCCCCGCTGGCTCCCCATCCCCATCTGCTCCCCGCTTCCATCCCCCACCCACCAGCAGAAGCACAAATGAAGACAGTATCGAGGCAAAGGATACACTTTTGAATCCTTCTTGAAATTTTCCAGCCATCTCTTGTTGGCATCAATCATTCCCTGGATGCTCGTCTTGTCTGCCTCAGGGCTCCACACCTGGGAGCGTTGGTACAAGCGGACTTGCTCGCTGTTATGAGAGGGGCAGAGGGAAGAAAAGATCTCAGAAATGGGAAGGGAAGCAAGGGCTGGATTCTGACAGGACGCATCCTCCTCCTGGCTCCAGCTCATCTCCCCCCACCACCAGAGTGGGATGGAGCTTTGGTCACTGGGATGACTGCAGAGCTGCGCAGCTCCAGCCCTCAGGGATTAGCCCCAGAAGGACCCTCTGGAAGGCATTTCTGGCTGCTAGGAGCTCCACAGCTTAGACAAAAGGACAGCAGTTCCCAGTCAGCCCTGCACTGAAGTGGGAAACTGCACACAGCCTGGTGCCAATGCCCTGGCTATTCTGGCCCTCGAATGTGAGCATCATCCCCACTAGCTGCAGTGCTGTAAGAGCCTGACACAGCTGGAAAGGGAAGCTGGCTCCTAACCTGCACTCAGAACCTAACCCATTTAAGTAACAAGTAGGTCAGAGCAAAATCACAGCTGACCTACAAACCACGGCAGAGAAGTGGCAGAAGCACAATGAAATAGCCACGCTCGAGAGAAAGGAGCCTCACCCAGCAGGCAGGTAACCTAGTTTGCTGTCCGGAGGGGCAGAGCTTCCATTGAACAGCGGGAACCCGCCTAGAAGAGACAGAAATTAAATACAGGCAGGGAAGAATTAAATACACCAAAGATCTCACTCTGGGTCCATCCTGTGCACCCCAGGGCTGTCGCTGTCCCTGGTCACCGTTTTGTACCTGCCGGTGAAAGCACATACTGAGGTGCTTCTGAATGATGCTGTAGCACATGCTCATGGGAAACTCTGCAGCAAGATCCCCTGGGGCCTCCCATTTGACTTCCAACAGAAGACAGGAAGTAAGAAAGCCTGTGACTGCCCCCTCCCTCCCTGTTATCACTTCCACCCTGAAAAGAAACAAATTAGCACACCAGGACGACCAAATTCTGCCTCTGGGGCAGGATCTACTCACACTGGGTAGAAGGGGATGGACTGGCAATGCTAGCACCAAGCCAGAGAGGACTCCACACAGCACGGATGGGGCTGGGAGGGGATGCTTAGCATATGCGCCTGGCAGAACTGCACACCCCAGAATGAACTCCCTCAGCTGCCAAGAGTGCCAGCAGCCCCTTGTCCAGGTTGTGCTTCGATTTAAATCCTTGACAGAAGCAAGCACCCCTATCCCTCGCAGTCAAAGCTCAGCCCCACGGGACCCTCTGCATCCTCCCTTCACTGCTCCCCACCACCGCTTGCACGTGAGGGAATTGAGCAGAGGGTCTGTCAGCACACAGCTGCTAAACTCAGGGGCAGGGCAGGGCAGGGCAGCCATCCCTATCCCCAAGCCAAGGCAGCATGGCACTAATGCATGAGCTGAAACGCTCTGTTGGGGAGGCGATCAGCAACTGCAGTGCCAGGGAGTGAAACGCAGTGCTTCCAAATCTGTGCCAGCTTGCCTGGCTCTGCCAGGCCTTGTGGTCCTGCCAGACAGCTGGTGACAGGTACATCCCTGCCCTCCAGCATGATGGTGGCCGCAGAACCACCAAAACCAAGAGATTTGAGAGGTGGATCCCAAAGGGGGATTGACCATGGCATATCCTCACCTGGGAAATACTTGCGCCACTTCTCTGCCAGCATGCTGTCCACTGACTGGCTGGCTGTGGAAGACAGGCCGGAGTGGAGACCAGTGCTCCATGGCCACTGGTTTGCCAGAGGAAGACTGGCAGGAGGCACGAGGGGGCCAGCAGCTTGGACTCTTGCCAGCGACGTGTACGTGGAAAGCGGGATGCCATCCCTGGGCAGTGGGGACAGTGGCACCGTTGTGGAGGCAAAGAGAGGAGACTGCTGATGACTCAGGGAGCCCAGGATGCTGAGGACTCCGCTCAGCTCGCTGCTGATGCGCCGCAGGGAGTCTGTGAGGTGCTGGATCCTGTCGGGCTGGGGGAGCTGGAGAGGTGGGTTCAAGTCACCTACCAACAGAGGGAAGTAGAGATGACTGGGAGGCTAGGACGTGATGGAGACACCGAGCTGTACCCACGACCAACACTGCTCTCGATTCTCCCAGCTGCAGCCACTCGCTCTCCCCTGCGCTCCGCCCCAAGATGATCGGAGGCTGAGCTCTGTCAGGCCCAGCTAAGTGGTAAGGAACAGAGAGCAGTGTTTGGCTGAGGAGATACCAGGGGACCTTCACATCGATGCTGATGAGCAGAGGAGTGGAAGGCAGCAGGGGCATGCAGCTGATGATGGTGAGAGAGCTGAAAAAGCCCAGGAGCCTTGGTGTTCTGGGGACTGAGCTGGGATGAGGAATGGGGACCTCATCCCAAACTAAAGCGTGCAGTGTCAACTCTGGTTTGGAGCCTGCGAATGAGCAGGAGTCCCCTTCCCTTCTCCATCCTCCTGTGTGAGCCAGGGCAGGGACCATGCTCACAGCCCCACCGTGCTCTGCCATGTTTATGGAAGACAGCATCTTATGAAGCAAGCCGCTGCTGCCGACAGCTTCTGCTGTGCATCTCTGATTTGGTTAGTCTCTGCGGTGTAACTCTACCCTACCTTCCGCCTGACTGCAGGCTCACATGGCTAACCACCTTTCTCGGCTCACGAGAGATTTGCTATTTAAGGAGAAATCCTCCGCAGAGACACCCACAGGACCTCCCATCTCTGAGCCTGCCGGCCCATCAGCCCTGTAACAAACTGAGCAAGGAGGAGGAACGACACTTCCCGGGCTGACAAACATCCCAAGACAGCTCCGTGTGAGGGAAAGGACCAGTCCGGGTCTTACAGCCCCACATGGGGAGAGTCTGAAGCTTTGGCAACCAGTGCAGGTGATTTCAAAACAAGGCTTGCTAATGAAGGAGCAGCCAGCAGCTGTGCCAGCCTCTTGGTCAGTGGCATGGGCCTCTTGCCCTTTGCACCTGGTCATCCAGAGCTATTCGCTTCACAACCACAGGTCCCCTGAGCAACCACAAAGGGACTCAAGACCAAGGCAACAGCCTCTCTTGCTGGGGAGATGGGAGGTGAAAGAGGCCCAGCCCAGCCTGTCCTGGCAGGACAGATGTTGAGAGGCAGGGCAACGCAGGCCCACTCGCGTCTATGGCACGGGGCACCAGAGTGCAAGCCACGCACGCTGTATGTTCTGCACTGGAATCACCACCCCCATTTCCAAGGGAGCACTCTTGCTCTCTCTCCGTTTCAGACACAGTTCCACGGTAGGGGACAATCCCCTCCTGCAGCACGCCTGCCCGCGGGAACAAGACTGCAACAAGCCCAAGCAAGAACAAGGCACATGGCCAAAACACACGCATGGAGAGGGACAGGCGGGACAGCTGGATCTGCACCAGGAGACATGGCAACGTGCACGTGGCTGACACACGACTCCCTGGCCACACCTGCAACTCACGTGTATGCTGAGGTACGTCGGAGCTGGCCACGCTGTTTGTGTCCTCTGAATCGCTGAGGTCAAAGGTCACCACCTTCTTGCATGCAGCTCCCTTCAGGGTGTCTTCGTCAGATACCTGGTCAAGAAAAGGGGTTAGGGGAAGGGCACATGCCTGCTCCACAAAACCAGCCTTAGTGCCCCAGGGACTGCCCGGAGCCTTGACTTGCACATGCACCCCCTAGACTGGATCCCAACCAGGGTCACCTTCCCTGGTGACCTGCCACATAGGCCCTGATGGCTTCCCATCAGAGGGTGAAGAGGAACCTGCTGGCTCACACAGCCTCACCCACAGCAGAGACTGGGACTGACGTTCTTGTTTAAACCAGCATGCAGCAGCATTTCCCCTCATGTCCCTGGGGTCACAACAGGCCCAAACAAGGTGCTGCTTCATCTTGCACTAAACAACCAGGCATTTTCCATCTAAGGTCTTCGCTCATGCCAACAGCATAACTGGCAAGGTGCTCACGAGAAGCCCTCCACCCTGGGCCCTGCCCTGGCTGTGGAGCTGGTAAATCCCAGACATTCACTCTAATCGGGTGTGTAGCTCTCTCCTGCTCTGCGACCTGCTTCCTCCGCCCACTACTCACATATGCAGACACATTATATAGTTCTCAGAGCACACGCTACTTGCCACCCCACTCTGCTAGCTGCTGCAAGGCTAAACCTCTCCTGCTGGACCTGAGGCCCCATGAAGCCCTCAGCCCAGGTGGAGCTTCTGAGTGTCACCGGACATGGCTTAGTGGGCACGTGGCCGTGGGACACCGAGTGGTGGAGCAGCTGGAGGTTACCTCTTCCACAAGCGAAGACTCCAGCTGGGTCAGTTTCTCCTCCTTCTTCTTCAACAGCACCTGTCCTGTCCTCATGGCTGACTTCATCTTGTCCAACTGCTTTGCTTCCTGCAGGGGTGCCACATGTCAGCCACAGGGGAAAATAGAACGAGAAACAGGAGACAAATGGCTTTATGGACCTGGAGTTATCTTTAGAAATGATTTAAACGGGACGTGGGCAGTTGTGGTCCAGGGGTCAGAGCCTCCCCATCCCACCTCCAAAGTCCCTAGTAGCATGAAGCAGGGCAACGAGCCGCTTAGAAGACTAATGCTTCAGACCTAGGGGTTCTCACACCTGCTACGAGACCAATCCATGCTCCACAAGGCCAAGTGCTTTGGGGTCACACTGCTCAGATCTGACCTACAGACTGAGATTGCATTCACCTCTAGCTATAGGAAATCCCCTGGCAACATTCACTGAAGACTGCAGGGGCTAGTGGCCAGGCCGAAGGACAGCTGGCTAGCACCCTCTCAATTCCAGTCCCATTTCCAACTTCTCTCCGCTCCGTTTTCCAGCTGTGGAAGATTCGTGTGCTCTGCCACACACTGACACGCTTCATGGCAGTGTCACATCTCACTGGCGATGCAGTGGTCCCAGAGTATCATTTATGTATTAGCTGAGCTAGCAAAGACACAAGGAACTATCTGCAAAGATGTGCAGAATCCTTGCAAAGATACAACAACAAACCTGCTCATATCAGAATTATCCGTGTCACCGGGTCCTTGCTTTGCAATTGGCAGGTGCAGCAATAAATGCATGATCTAGCAGCACCCACAGGGTTTTGGACATTGAGTCAAACAATGTTAAACTCGCATATTCCCCTCCATTTTGAAGCCTAGTAAGCTATATTTCCCAAGGGTACGCTAACACCACCAGCACCGTGCTGCATCTTCAAGGTGCCTTCTAGCAGAGGGCTCAGAGGGCTTACAAACCTTAATGAATTAATCTTTACAGCCACCCTGTGACGCAGGCAAGGATTTTAATCTCTGTTTTATGGATGGGGATGATGACACGGGCAGAGATTAGTGCTGACGTTGGGTGCCGAGCTGGAGACACCTGGGGGCTAACACCTAGGAGAGGCGAACGCCTCCCACTGCCATAAACTACACTTGCAGTCATGGTCCCTGGGTCTAAGACTGGGCACCCACTTCTAGTCACCTGAACCTCAGCAGCACAGAAGGCAACTTGCAGCAGGAGCAAAAAGAAATCGCCAGCCTCAGAGCTCCCAGTCTCACAATCCCCTCGCGCTCTGAGCCAGAGCAGTGCTAGTCACCTCCTCCAGGTTCTGGCGCACATCCTCCAGCAGCTGCGAGCTGTCAGGATCCTGCACTGCCTCCTGCACTTGCTGCATGTCGTGACGCCACTGCTGCCTCGCGGCCTTCAGCGCCGTGCGCCTCTTGCTCATGGAGCGAGTCTGGCGCTCCAGGAACTCCTTGGCGTTCCTGATGGAGATGCCTTGTGCGGAGATGTAGTGCCGTACGCTGCAGAAGGGAGCAGAAGTGAGAGTGCTTACACACCAGTAGCCCAGAAGCCTGTCCACACTTCCCCCCAACCTGCAGCAGTTTGGAGCGGGTCTGGCTTTCCAGTTCACCCCCGAACAGGCCAGACAAGTGTGATAAAAGCCCTCCCAGGTGATGGGGTGGCTACAGCTGTAGAATGCAAGCCTCTGGGAGGCAGTTAACGAGCTTGCCAGAGCCTTTCTGTAGCTGTATCAGCTTTGCACACCAGCCAAGAACTACATGTCATTGACTCATCAGCCAACAGCTGCACTAATCAAAGGGCTGTGACCTGTCATGATGGGATGCTTTGAGGAAGGGCACAGCACTGCAGCGGGCCTTTTCCTCTTGGCTCATGTGCTCTAGACTGCAAGCCATGGATGGCTCCACTGTGCCAAGTGACTCGCTGTCAGCACATAAACCTCAGCAACAGCACTTCTCAAGGTGGCCGGTGCTTACTCATCAAGCCAGAGGTCGCCATCTTCGTGACTCTGCAAGGGCAGGGGAGCCGTCTGTCTTGAGGAGTGCTGGAGAGGTGAGACACTTCAAACATCAATTAATATGCAAATAAATGCTGGACCCCAGGCCCCAAGAAGCCTAATAACACAGCACAAACTCAATCACAGCATCAGTGAACTTGCCCCTGGAATGGGGCACTGCAGAGGTGCTTCCTTGTGGGGAAGAGGGAAAAACAAGCAGAGGCTTCCCTCCAGTTCCTGGACTTGCCTTCCTCCCACGGTTCCCCAGCCCAAGGCTCGTACGAAGGTGATCCAAGCACAGACCCCCCAGCAAACCTGGGACGAGAGTTCAAAGCTGCAGTGACACGTTCTCTCACTCTCCTCTCAGAGACGAGAGAAGACTCTTGTGTTTAACAACAACCAAAAGACATAACATGCACCAGAGATCTCTAGTAAGGCATGGTTATGTGTGGGAATTTGCTGGTTTTCAGTGACTGCAGATGATGCCTGATGTGCCTCTGCAGATCCAGCCCAGCCAGCTCTGGATGGAGGCTCACTGAGCGAAGGAGAAGTGTGCTGCCCAGCAGCGTACTTCCAATCTTGGGCAGAGCCAGGAATGCATTGTGGGACCCAGTCCCTGTCTAGTGGACAAACTGGGGTTAATGCTTCTGCTTCTCTATTAAATAACTTTGGCCAAGTGCAGTCCGCAGCAGCAGCACAAGGCAGCGCAGCCAGGCAGGAACCTGCACTGCCATGTCCAGCAGGACCATGCCCACCTCCCCCGGCTCCGAGTGCCTTGGAGAGTCCAGCCCTAAGGCAGCGGGACCTGAAGCGCTTTTACTCACAGCGCGGATCGTCTCTTTCAGGTCCTCAATGTGGAGCTCAGCTTCCCTTCGCGGAGATGCTGTGCTGTCTTCTGCTTCTAGCTCCTTCAGCAAGTCCTGCTTGCTCCTGATGGCTGCCTCTAGCTCACTGCCGCCGAAGGCGCCAGGTATGCAGGAAGGAAGAGGCATCAGAGATGCTGAGTGATGCTGCTCGTGAGAACGAACAAGCATGCAGAAACTGGCTCTCTAGAAAACTATCCAGAGCTGCAGCAGCAAACCCACAAAGTCCTGCGTAGCTCTGGAGCTGCAGTCTGGCCATCGCTGGCTCCAGCCAGACTCATAAGCACAGCCTACTGGGCTTGTGTATGGAGTAGCAGGTCTCTGCCACCACCTGGCTAGGTCAGTTTGGGGCACTGTCAACCCTTAAAACAACAACGAAAAAGCAAGCCATGCTCTGGCTCATTCCCGGCCCGTACAGGCCTTTACTCCCCTTGAGTCTCTCACCCTAGTTCCTCAAAGCATTTTACGAATATTATTTTACAGCACAGCTATGAGGATGCCAAGTATTTGATACAGGTTTTGAAGGGGGACAGTGAGGCCTGCAGGAGCTAAGTGGCTTATCCTGAACTTAGAGTTATCAGCCAATGTGGGATCAGCACCCAGGAGCTCTGGCCCCTGGTCACCTGCTTTCCCAACGAGCAACCCTGCTCCTCAGAAATTCTGTAGGGGTGCAGAGTGCCAACATTTAAGCAGCTCCAGGGCCTGGAGGGGGTCAAACACAAGAGGAGCCACTCCTAGCATATGCACCTGATTCGCTTCTGCAGCCTCTGGCTTCGGGACTGCAACAAGTCCACCTGAGACTCTAGTTCAGCTTTTTGATCTTGGAGCTCCTGCAGAGTCCAGCGCAGCTTTCGGATGGCTTCCATGAGGTCTGTGTGCTCCTTCCGAGACTCCTCCAAGCGGAGCTGAGCAGCCAAGACCACCTCCTGAAAGGGACACGAACATTTACACCCTGTGATTTCCTGAAATGAAAGCATGCAATGTGCAAGACACACATGTGCTGCACAAGAAACTAAGCTAGGAGCCCCCAGCATGCGCAGCAAGCCTGTTGTCCTCCACCAGCTTTGTCACAGCTTTTCTTTACTCAGAAACTGGCCCTGACCCAGAACCCCCGTATCAGAAGAACCATGAACTCTGCAGGAATTTGCATCAGGCCTGCATGATACCCATCACTGCCAGCATTCAGATCCTGTTGCCATCAAGATAGGGGGTGAAGACAAAGCACTGACTTCAGGGGGCATGGACCAGTATAGAAGACAGCAACCAGGAGTCCTCAGGACATCAAGGTCCATGCTGCCCCTTCTCTGTGCCTCTGCACAGGCTGTTTTCAACGAGACATGGGAGGAGGTAGAGCTGAAAATGGATCTCATGGCCCAGGTGAGCCTAGCAACACTGACCTACTTGGGGCAGGTAGAGACCGTCCCTTTCTGGGCCACGTGCTAGGTGCACTCAGTCACAAGGCGGCTGAGCCAGCACTGTCTCCTCCCAGGCTGCATTCCCAGGGGCAAAGTCAGACACTAGATCTGGCTCTGGTGTCTCATGTCAGGTAGATGGAATGATCCAAAACTCCGTGGTCTGTGTCAAGCCCCTGGCCTCAACATCCTGTAAAGCTGTGTGGTTTTCCCCTTGAGGACAAGGCCTGAGGTCAGGGATGGAGCGGCTGTTCGGTGAAAACTGTTCTCCCAAAGGTGACTGGCAACTATCTTCAGGGAAACGTACATGATCCCTTCACAACGCCAGGCCCGGGCACAAGACTATGGCACTTTACAAGTTACCTGTCACCTTGGCTAACCTCTCTGTGCTCCCTCCCCAGTTTGAATGGGTTTACTCTTTTCTGTAATCCAGTTAATCTATTTCAGCTGTTTTCACCTGGTCTGCAGCTACTTCTGATAACTTCTCTTTGCGCCAAAGTTTACAGCCCACTCCCCTTTCTAAGTAATCACCTTCATCTAACAGGATTCCCCAGAAGTAACTCTTCTATCCGGCATTTAGCTGAGGCAGTACCTGCCTCTTTCTTTGCCCCAAGGAAGGGCATTGTGTTCTCCTAAAGACTGTCTACCATCTGTCCCAGCTCTACGGTTGGTTCAATAAAGGACATTCCCTACAAAAGCTTGCTTCTCACATGCTCCAAGGCCCATGATGGCTACACTATCACTATGGGACACATAAAAACAGTCACCATTGTACAAAATGGTGCAGAAAAGAGAGAGGTTATACACTATTCCCCATGTCTGCTGGGATCATAGAAGTCAGTAAACTGCAGCAAGGAAGATTGAGGTTAGACATCAGGAACATGTTTTTACCTGGGAGGCTAGTTAAGCACTGAAATCAATTTGAGTGTGGTTGTGAAATCTCTATCACAGAGGTTTCTAGCAGCAGGTTAGATAAGGGTCCAGCAGGAACAATTTAGAAGAGGTGACTTGCCCTGGGAAACAGGCCAGCTGCTTCTTGTCCTTTTCTCCAGTGTCCCACCTAGTCGTGCAGAGTCAGCGGCCTGCAGTACAGCACCTAAAGCAGTCTGCAGTCCCAGTTTCCTGGGAGATGACACACTGAGAGCTGAGATCTCCCCGTTAGGAAGTTTCCCTCGGTTCTCGGTACATTTCCTTTTGTTGAGTTCCATCCCATTAACCCTGCTTCCAACTCTCTAGCCTGCTCTCCAGCCTCTTCTCCCTCCCTGCTGCGTCTGCCCTTCTCATAACTACAGGCCGCTAGGTACCGCCCTGGGAGCCGTTCCACTGCTGCACAACCACTAGATTTCGCATCTCAGCTCTAGACCATGAAGCCTACAATGACTCTGATGTCAGCGCTGTTGCTGTGGCACTGCCACGGCAATGCCACAGAACAGGCAGGACATCCATCTTTGACAGGGAGAGCCATGGGGACAGCAGAGCCAGCTGGGCTCTTGTCTCACCCCTCTGCGGGGACTGCACAGGCTCAGGGAGTCAGCGTGCTTCACAGGAACATCCGAGGAGCTCCACACACTGCAGAGGAGAGGCAAGGACTCATCTTGGTGCTGGAAGCTACTAAGGTCTCCCAGTGCAGGGCCCAGCCAGCAAACTACTAGGCACCATCCCACTGACGCACTAGGCAGCTCTGCAATTAACACAAGAGTCAGAGCCAAGGATCTTACTACCCAGGAAGGCACAGTACTAAGGAGTACAGCGGGACACGTGCTCCTCACATCCAGCAAGGTGCAGGTGGAGGCAGAGAAGTGAATCCCGCTAACGATAAAACCAAGCTCTGTGCACTACCTTCTCTGTTTGGACTCTGGAGAAACAGGCCCCACCTAGTCGAGCTGCCGGCGGGGCTGCGCTCCTCGTGGAGGCAGCAGGAAGGACGGGACAGCCGTGTCCCACAGAGCTCGGGCATACGTACAGTTCTCTCCTGCTCCAGCAGTTTCTCCTCATCCAGTAGCTGCTGCCTTTTCTTCCTTATGGTATCCTCCTGCATACACAAGTGAAGAGCAGATGAGTCATGAAGCAGAGCCACAACAGAACAGTCTCTACATCACTCTGGGCAAGGGAGACATTGAACCCAAGCACGTGACAGCTCCAAGCCCTGGGCCTTTGGGATCCACTGCCCTGCTGCTGCCAGCCTGTCCCTGTTCTCTCCACTCTCACTTTGTCCCTTTCCACCATTTCTTTCACTTGTGCTGTTAGCTCAGAACTCACCTGGCTTTTTGAGCAGCCGCTTGTCTGCACAGCTGGGCCCTGCATCAGCACTGACATAGCACACTGATAACACAAGCCCTTCTGAATGCCGCAATGCTGCACTGTCTTGGGGACCTGGCAGGCATGGAGCCTGCAACTTGCCATTGCTTGTGGGAAGAGGGTCAGCCACATGGAAATACATCCAGCCCCTGGCATCTTGCTATCAGGTAGTTACAGACTGCAGCACCACTCAGTCCCCTTGTTTCCTCTTCTGTGAGCATCCTCACTCACACATGGTTTAGTAAAGTAAGAGCCAGCAGGAGCAGGGTATCACTAGCCCTTAGCAACAGAAAGGATGCATGTAATCTGTGGATGTGAAGTGCCCATGGAGCTGACTCACCTGGCTGTGGAGCTGAGCTGACCTGGCCTTGGCCTCTCGTGCTCGCAGGTCGAGCTCGATTTCCAAGTCCTGGAGTTTTCTCTCCTGGGCAGAAAGAGAACATGTCTGAAGGAGCAGGCTGTCATAAGGGGCACGCTGAGCAAAACCAGCATGAGGGAGAGCAGCAAGCATCTCTGTGTGCCCAGGCTACATCCAGCAATGAGCTGGCCAAAGAGCTGTGCAGGCCCTTTGGGGCCCAGGGCACCTGGTCGAGCCAAGACAGGACCCAGGACCGGAGCAGGGCTCGCACTCACCTGCTCCTGGTGGCTGCGCCGCAGGTCATTGAGCTGCTCATCCAGTTCCTTCCGCAAAGCCCGCAGCTCCCCGTCGTGGAGCTGCCGGAGACGCTCCATTTCGCTCGTCAGCGCCCCAAGCCTCTGTGCTCTCTGCTTTCTCTCCTGCCACCACAACGGCAACCAGGGTAAGGAGCAGAACATGAAGCTTCACAGCAAAATTGCACTTGGATGTGTGTACGTGCACACATGTGCAGCCTACCCCCACACAGTTGGGGAAAACCAATATTTTAACAGGCCAAGACCCAACTCGATTGGCTGGGCAGTGTTGTGATACAAACTGTCCAGGGAACCAACACTACCGCACTCAAGCCCTGCAGCCTCAGGAGCATGCAGTCTTCCAACGCCCTGATTTGTGACAGTGTCATCAGAACCTGCAGTTACGGACATTCAAGGTCAGGATCCTCACAGATGCATCAGCAACAGCACATGCCATGGTCTTGTGAAGAAACCTGCATGTGAATGTGGTGCCCATGCAAGGATGCACCCACACTCTGGGAAACTATCCAGGCACTCTCCTTAATAGTGCTGCCCCTACACTTGTCGTATCAAAGCCCAGTGGGGAAGGTTGGCCCAGCCACTTCCTACACATCCTGTTTCCTACGCAGACCCAGGACCTACTGCAAGACTAGGGGCTCCACTTCACTGCTCCTGTGGCAACAAACAAATTGCTAAGGGCATCTTCTGGCTCGCCATGGTGCTCTCTGGTAGTACCTCCTCCTCGTACTGCTCCTGGATCCTTGCCAGGACCTCCCGGTGCTCCGCTTTCATCCTTTCCAGCTTCCTCTCATGATCTCGCTCCACTTCCTGGCGCTTCTCTTTCATGAGCTCACTGAGCTGCAATGATCACAGAGGCAGCTTGCATTAAAGGCACAGCAAAGGACAATGTGTTCCCCCAAACAAGCACATCAACACCTAGACATGCCAAAGCATCCCTTATGTCCTGAGACTGGTGCAGCCCTGGCCTGTGCACTGCCTGGCATCAAAAGGGTAAAGTGCCCAGTGTCCAGACAATGGCTTGGAGATGGACAGTCGCAATCCTACAGCACCACTCTCCCCTCCTCCAGATGGGGAGGCTTTCCACCCTGCTTGCAGAACCACAGCCAGAAAGAAGAGTCACCTCTCTCTCATACTCGGTTAGGTGATAAGCTTTTTGCTGGACTTTTTGCTCTGCTCTCTCCAGCGCCTCCCGTAGCTGGGTCTCGTCACTCCTCTGAGTCTCTTCTACTTGCTTCTGCAGGCTGGCAACGACCTGCCACAAGAAGGACCCACAGAGTCATCTCGGCATCTGGCCAGAAGCACCCCACTGCCCTCTCCCATAAACAGAGGCAGCATGGCAAAGCTCAATTTGCTCAGTCCCACCTCCCCTCACCTGGAGTAGGTCCAAGTGCTGAGCAAGATAAGAATCACCTTCAGGAGATGGAAAGAAGGAATGCAACCTTCACCAGCAGCACTCAGAGATGCTGCTAAGTGAAGAATTGCCATGGGTTGTGCTATGGCCCAGAGAGTAGCCTTACCTTTTGGTGCTCCTCCTCTGCTGCAGCTTTCAGCTGCTGGAGCTCAGCTGCAAACTGCTTCTCTAACACCTCAGCAGCCTGCAGGAACATCAACAACAGCCCTGGCTCAACCTCGCCAGTCAGAGGAACAGGGTGCGTAACCACCCATCTGGATCAATTCCTTATGGGGAACCTTTGGAAAAGCGCACGGTATAGGCCATCCGGGACCAAGGTGCTCACAAGGTGACTGGAGTTCTTGGAATTCCAGTCTCCATAAGCACGGCCCAATACCCGACAAGGACATACCAAACACAAGAACATGTCCCTTGAAAGGAGGGAGACTGTGATCACAACGCAGTGTCGTGGGTGCCATTTGGTGGGACACCATTAGAAGCACCTGCTTCCTTTCCCTGTGCATGGCAGTATCTGCATTTACAAGACACTTTGCCTTAGACTTTGCTGCCCCTTCCCTCCCCCACACCTGCCGTCCTCAAAGGGGCAATACAAGCAGAGCGGGGTGTTTTGCAGAATCACTTACTACCCTTTAGTAGGGTGGGTGGCTCAATCTCCTGGGCTGGGTGCTACCAAACAGGCCACGCTGGCACAGCAGGGAGCACGTGTGACTGTGCTGGCACAGCAGGGAGCAGAACCATGAGTCTCACCTCTTTTCTTTCTCTTTCTAATCTCTCCTTTATCTCATTCAGGACTCGCTCCTTTTCTTGCTCCAGCCCCATCCTCTCTCTCTGCTGAGCCTCCTCCACTTCCAGCTTTATCTTCTCCAAAGCACATTTCTTCGTCTCCTCTGCACTCTCTCTCTCTGACTTCTGCAGGGATTCATACTCCTCCCTCAGCTTCTGTAATGCAGCTTCTTGCTCTGCCCTGGTGGGTTGGTGCAAGGGGTGCAAAGAAACACACACATGAGACATTCATACTAAAATGTAGTACTGTGTTTACCAACCCACCTTGCAGCAGCAACTGCTACAAGCAGTTCATAACCCTGAAGGAATGAAGAGCAAAAGCACAGCCAGGTTCACAAACAAGGATCCCTCAAGCTTTACCTAGAATTTATATTTTGGAAGTGGATGACCAAAGAGTCAGGCAAAGAACAAAGGCGCTATTAGTGTATCTGAAGGCTGCCTGTCTTTCTTTTCAATTATATGTAGACATGAAAACAATGCCTTATGTTTTCTCCAGCTCTACTCATAAGCCCTTGGAACCCTTCTAAGCTAGGAGAAGATGCCTACTCAGCCTAACCCACTCAGTCATCCTATTCCGAGGAGACAATGGACAGTGGAGAATGCTCTTTCATTCACAGCCCTGGTTTAAGAGGAATGAGACAATCCCAAGACTTTTCTCTGTAGGATGCTGCTCTGTCTTGCTTCCAAAGGCATCAACTTCTTCTGCTTGAAAAGGGCCCAGCAGACCCCAATGCAACTTGTCAGTTTTGCCCTCCACGAACAGATGTTTCCCTGAATCTACTGTGATCATTGGCACTGACACGAGGGGAACCCTGCAAACACGGGACAAAGTCACCTCGCTGGCTAAGGCGTCGCCTACAGCACCTGCACACGTTAGGTGTATCACTTGCCAGCGCTCTTCATGGACAGGGTCTCTTCCCCCACTTTCCCTCCTGTCTTCCCCCGCGGCTGTGGAGTCCTGATGCACGGGGCATGCAGTTTCCGTGACATGGAGTGAATTCCCCACCTGATTTTCTCCTTCTCTGCCTCTGTCTCCGCGCTGATCTGGGTTCGCAGCTTAGAGAGCTTCTTGCTCTGTTCCTCTCGCAGCCAAAGCTCCTCCTCCTCAGTGGCCTTTGCTAGCTCTTCTTTTAGAGACCTGAGAGATGAGCACCACATAAAAAGATCAGATGCTGTAATAACTTGCCCCCAGCTTCCCGAGGCCCACGGATCCAGGGCTGGTTGCTGGTGGCATCACCTGCCTGGCCAAAGCTCCCCTGGGGTCCCAGGCCCAGTTCTTTCCCAGGCCCCACTTCTTTCTTGCCCAGTGAGAAGCTCCTTGGCTTGCTCCCTGTGTGGCTGTCAAGACCATGACTGATGGGCTCTCACACTTACCAGGGAGTATTCCCTACTCCTAAGAGCCTAAATCGGAGGCCCCTACATGAAGCTTAAAAGTAGCAGAGCTCGGCAAACAGTGCTCCTGCGGCAACCCCACATTCTCTACTGCTTCGATCTCCAACCCTATCATTGCCATTTAGCCAAGGACTTGAAAGGTTGCCAAATAGTAAGGCCCTGACCACAGAAGGGAGTGCTGTCACCAGGTTTGCGACCCCAGGAACAGGTTCAGAGCCATGCTGAGACCCACACCTGTATCAGACCAGAGCTCTTCCTACACAGAAAGGCTCCCTGATCTGCCGTGGAAATGGTGCTTTGCCCAGGCACAGAGGTAGTGCGGCCCCAAGCACCTTTAGGAGAGAACCTCATGGACTTCAAGAGGTGCAGGCTGCCATGCGCAAGACAGAGCCTGCACATGCAGCGGGGAAGACCATCCTTTCACCCTCTGCATCCCCGGCCCAAGACACTGGTGGGGTGGCACCCATCCCGTCTGCCCGCTGTGACATGCGTATGCTGGCAGCTACTCCAGGACTCGGGGATGGCAGAGCATGGTACAACCCAAGTTCCCGGCCTCCAGCAATGAATCACAGCGGTGCGCGGGGGCTGGAGCACAAGAGGAAATCACCTGAGGGATTTCTCTTTCTGCTGACGAAGCTCCTGAGCTTCCTCCTCCTCCTTTTGCCTCAGCTTTTCCCGGAGCTGCTGAACTTCCTCCCTCTTTGCTTGCAGAAGATGAGTGTCCTCCTCCCCCAGCTCCTTGGCAGGTCCCTCCAGGGGCTTCTCTGCAGGCTGGTGTGAGGACTCTGCTTGCTGGGTCCCCTCCTCCAGTTGCCTAGAATAGAGAGCGAGCCCTTCAGAGCCAGTTACAGCTAAATTGTACAATATGACAAGAGCCGCAACGCTCCAACCCTCAGCAAGACCTGCCCCCACGGGCCTGAAAGCCGCTTGTGGACACTGGCCACGCACACCATACCACACCCCTGTGAGACAGAGAAAGGACAGGCAGAAAGTGCTGTTCCCACCACCCGGTCTGCAGGACAGCCCCCTGCTCTTTCACCAAGGGACAACTTACCACAGTTTAGTTGCCACTGGCTGTAGGGGAAGAACTTGCACACAGACAGTTACCCCAGAGGCAGCTGGCACACAGTAAAGCTCTGCCCCTTTCTACCCTGCCATGAAGTACAGTTTTTAATGCTGCTTCTTCTGACAAAAGGCAGCACAGCCATGAAGCTCATGGAAAAACGTGCTTTGGTACAGGCACAAAATTATATCCCACTCCATCAGCGGCCATGTCAAAGACACAAGGACTTGGCAGGCTCACTCAGAAGAGGCAGATGGGCCTCAGCCTTACTGGGACCTGGGAGCTCAGAGGTGCCAGTCACACCGGCTGAGTGTCAAAAACCCAAAGCAGCCACTGGAAGTGCAAGTGCACTGGAGCAAAGCAGGCACTCGAGACCCCGGAGGACTCACGTGTTCTTAACACACCTGCAGTTCACAGCCCACGCTGATGCCCACAGCAGAAGTGTCATCTACCCGCCAAAGCCTAAAAGCTCCTTCTTTCCATTTAAGTCATCCGTTTTCCTCCTCTGGCCACCATTTGTTTAAAAAACCACGTGTACACATCCACAACACAACTTTTCCAAGGACAAGGTGGTGGCGGCCACCGCAGCGTGAACATCCCTGCCTTGCCCTTCCAGGCACCACAGATTCACTCACTCGCCTTTGCCCTGTGAGCTACTCGGCCAGTTGTGCCCAATTGCATCCACTGGGCTCTTGCTCAGTATGGGCAGGGAAGCTGGCGAGACCATTTACGGCGGGATGCTTCATGTACTGCAGAGTAGATGACTGCAAAGACCCATTTATTCCCTGGATTTTCCTGGGCTGTGACCTCACCAGCTCAAATGAGCCATGAATTAGCCACTAAATGTATTTCTCCCTTATGGCTCCGGGCTTAGCCACATAGCCCATAACTAGAGGGGTGCAACTGGCCTTGTCAGCCACATGCAGTACCAAAAGGGCTCTTCTCCAAGCTGGAAGTGAGCAGATCTTGCCTGGAAATGAACCTGAGGGCCTCCTTCCTCTCAGTAACAAGACCAGGAGGCCTCTTTCTGTACCAGAGAGGGGCTGAACGGAAAGAGAGGAAGAGAAACTACCCCCTGGCTCCCCATGCAGTCAGAAATGTACTGGATTACTGGTCAGCTCACAGCTCGAGGGGAATTAAATCAAGCCCTTACGCCCTGTGAGAGACAACAGGGTCCTCTGGACTGATAAGACTATGGAGTGATGCCTCCACTTACTCCAGGGCATAAATCTCTTCCTGTTTGGGATCCTCTAAACCTATGGATTTTTCTTCTGCCTTTTCATGAGTGCTGAAGGGGCCCAAATCCCTCTCACTTGGCAGCAATGGAAAGGGAACAGAAGAGCGGGTTAGTGAAAAAGGCATTTAGAGGAGGGTGGGGGCCGGATGCAGTGCTAGCACTTGGGGCAGTGCTGTTGCGCACTTGCCAACAACACCTGCTTGGCTGCAGGGTGAAACGATGGCTCCCTTCCATCTGCAGCAGCAAAGGATCTGTGGGCGGTTGGGGGCTAAGTTGGCACCTATCAATCTCCTCTCCTCCAAGTCCTTGGAGAAATTCCCTGGGATGAACCAGCCCATTAGGCATACTCACACTGCATCCAAGTCACAGCTGGAAATGTTGGCAGGCACGTCCACATCGCTACTCCCACATCTTAGAGGCAGAAAGGAGAGAGACTAAGCAAGTATAAAGCAGCTTCATTAGCTGAGAGAAAGAGGGAGGAATTTAGAGATGCAAACAGAGCTCAAAGAAGCAGGCCTGAAATGATCAGGAGACACCTTCCATGCTGGGAATGCACGTCCAGGAAGATGGCATTCAACCATGGGGAAGAACGCATGTTCCCATGGGCAACACCTCCCAGCACAAGCTCCCAAGCGCCTGCAGCAGGTCACCAAGGACTGCCCCAGCTAGCTCGGTTTCTCTGCAAGGTCCCTTGGAACAGGGCCGTTGGCAGTACCAGGGCATGGTCCTCGGTGCCTGTCTGCCCGACACCCCAGAAGACCATGCGGGTTCACAGGGAGAGCAAGGTCTCAACACGTTCTCTGCAAACAAAACACACTCTGGCTCCCCTCAGAACCTCAGGAGCAGACTGAGCTGCCTGGTTCACATGCCTGCAACACAAATCACCAAAAGAAACCTCCCACCACCACCACTTCCTAGCTCTTGCAGCAACCAAGTGTCTGGAAGCTGGGCTTGTCTGGGGATAACCAGCATCACTCCCTAGCGTGAAATCTCCAGGAGACAAAACCATCTAATCCAACGTGTGTTCACATTCTGACTTGCTTTGGGGTGGTACCTTCAGGGAGGGACACGGAGCAGAACCCACTTATGTCAGGACTGGGTTCACTCAATACCAGCAGCAGAGAAGCCAGGCTTTCCCTGGACACCCTAGAGCCAGGGACAAGCTACCAGTGCAAGATCAATATCCCAACAGGCCCAGTGCCCAGGGAATGGGGTGGGGCCATGGTGGATCGAGCATACAGTCATCTCCAGCGGTCGAGTCGCCCACAGCCAACGGGAGATCTGAAACAATCCGGAATGCACTGGTAGGACAGCCAAAACACTGGCTGATCTTAGCCTGGTCAGCAATACAGAGGAGAAAAATAACCTTCCTAGCCTTTGAGAAGAGTCAGATCGCCTGGAGGGAAACAAGGAGCCAACTGCGCGTCTGGTGGAGCTTACAGGGACATGAAAGGTAAGCAGTTTGCTCGCTTCCCCAGCCAGAGGCCTGAAGCAAGACTGAAACCTGCTGATACAGCAGGGGAAGGGGAGGGAGGCATGGGGGAAGAGAAGAGAGAAAAGTGAAGGATGGAAAAGCCTGCAAGGGGCTGCAGAAACTTCAAGGTGTTTTATCAGGGGGATTCCTGCAGGGGTTGCAAAGACCAGACCATAACAGCCTCAGGTGAGGGCTGGTCAGGAAAGCAGCCTGGACCCAGAGGGTCCTATGCACCCTTTGTGGCTCTGCACCATCTCTATGCCATACCCCGCAGCACTCTGGGTCCTTTTGCTTTGCTCTTCCTCTATGCTGGCTTGGCTCCGGTCCTTCTCCTCTTTTCCCAGTTCCCGGGCCTGCAAGTAAAAGCAAAGTGGAGTTGGGCAACTCTTGTGCAGTCAATGCTTGTCTCGAGAATGCACAACAGCTCTGAAGAAGACCTGCTGGAGACCTGTGCCAGGCTGTTCCCATCACTGAGCACTTTCCCACGTGCCAAACCAGCTAGCTCCAGAGAACCGTCCAGGCAGTCCTCCAGACCACAGTGCTCTGTGCTTCTCCGCTGCATGCCAAAGACCTAAGAGAACATGCAAGCCCTACTCACCAGGCCTGCGACACCAACAGACAGATTCCTCATTTCTGTTGGTGCTTTGAAAGTCAGGTCCTGTCAAAGCATCACCGGTCAGACCCCCCCAGAAATCACTGGTTGCTTTGGAACATTTAGGCTTAAATTGCTCTTTCTGTTCCGGACAAAGGGAAGTAGATGTAGAAGTGGAACGCTAGGCCCAAGCCACAGTGAGCCCATGTGGAGCTGGGAACAGCCCCACCTCGTGCTTCAGCCCTGTCCAAATCCTGGCTCCTCTCCAGCATGGGGTCAGAACAGGACGGTCCTGATATAGGAATAAGGAGGGCTCATGCCTGACCGCATGGAGACCAGCTTCCCCCCAGCACTGGGCAGAAAGAAAGGCTCCCTCCATCTGGCTGTGCACTCGGGGCCACTTGTGCTGCCTTCTTAGTGAAGTGGCCATGCCCCTGCTCCTGCCCAGAGATGCTGCCCCCAACAGTGCAGATGCTCTGGCACGGGAAGGATGAAACCGGGAAGCCTGTAAAACCCGCTGGGAATAAAGGAGTAGAGACATGGACAGTGGAGCCTTGGGTAACAGCGTAGGACAAGACTAGGCCATCAGAAACACCCCCACTGCCTTGACCTAGCCAGGGAAGGGAAGCCCCAGACCTCCCCGGTGGCAGTGCCCCTTCAGGAGGGAAAGCGTTAACCGTGCCTCTTTCCAGCAAGGATCCAGGCACTGGTGTAGGTGCCGCGGGGGCGGGGGTGGCGTGCTCACTGAGGGTGGAGTGCTGAGAGCTGAGGCATGACTTTGCCATATGGAAGTGTACCACAGGGCAGAGCCAAAATAAAAACGAAATTAAAAATAGCAGTGATTTATGCAAATTTCTAGCGGAGCAAACAGCAGAAGGATTCCCGGCTAGTGCTGTCACTTCCCATCACGTCAGCGTGCCGGCTCCCTTCCTCCTGCCCCGACACAAAGAGCCGCAGCTCCCGAGCACCGGAGAGCCCAGCAAACCTCTTCTCCCTCGCCCTGGGCTCCATCGCTGCCACCTCAACAAGAAACCATGGGGAAGGAGCCTGCACTGGGCCCTGCTGGCCCTGGCCCCGTGCTGTGGGCTGCTTCCTGGCTGTCCCTCAGGACTCAGATCTGTTGTGAAACAGGGAGGTCAGCCCATCTTGCAGGGGATCAGGCCCCCTCCCAGGGGAGGGCTGGCTACTAGACAGAGCAGGGGACTGGGCTCTGAGGCCTGGCTTTCAGTGTGGCTCTGCCGAGCCGTCTGCCCCCGCAGCTCTATGAGTGGGCAGCACCCACCCATACAGCTGCAGGTGAAGGTGCCAAGGACTGTTCTTGGCTTGGCTTCCTGTCCCCTGGTTGTAAGCGGTGCTCAGAGTCCACACTGAGACAGAAGCAGCCATCACGGGAAGGTTGGGGTGGGGGGAGGCTAGCCCGGGTAAGGCTGTTTTGGCTCCAAATCTGGCTTTCTTTTAAGTTAAATAAAACAGTAATGCCCTGAAAGGGAGACTTCACCTCCTCTCCAACTTTACTGTCTGGCCCTCAGACCAGGAAAAATACTGCTTGCATCCTATGTGAAACCTGTATTGAAGGATCTCAAAGCCCTTGGTGAGGGGTGCAGCACTCTGCCCTTCCTCACGGCCAACATTTGCCCCGCTGCAAAAGAAGGATGTGAGGGGAGAAGGCAGCAACCCACCCATCCATACCCATCCCCAGCAGCGGAGCTGGGGGTGAAGCCGAGTCCCTCATTATAGGCAATGGACAAACCAGGGGCTAAGCTGCCACACGGCCTGACAAAACAGAAAGGCTGCAGAACCCACATCCTGGCACAGGCCGTTCGGCTGCCACACTGGCCATTTCAAATCCACACTTTGTCAAAGGATGCAGAGGCAGAGCAAGCCAAGTCTGCAGACAAACAGTCCAACAAACCCCGCCAGTGCCAGGCAAAAACCTCCTGTCTCTCTACACAAAGGAGCAGCTGCAGTTCTGCAGGGGGCACCGCTCAAATCCACCTCTCTGTGCTCGAGACCAGGCTGCCATAAACTCGAAGCCTGTCTGCTCCAGTGAGGAATCTGTCTGCACGAGCCTGTGTGGCAGCAAAGGGGAGAGGGGGTGGCGGGGAGGCAGACGGGGACGCAGCAGGCACGTGCTCTGTTTGCCTTTCGCATCTCATCATCCTCATTCTCAAACACAAGAGGACAGGTGTGTACTCCAAAGCCAGCAGAGCACCCTGGAGGGCTCTTCTCTGCTGGACAGGTGGCGGGTTTGTCACTCGGGGTCTCTTCCAGAACAGCTGATTGATTCACTTACAATCAGATCAAGGCTGAGTGAGCCCCAGCTGGAGCCTGACCTGCTGCCTACCCACGCACTGCAGAGCTCGTGTGCTGCAAGAGAGGTGGCAGGGGAGGCGGAAGCGATACGTGGCGGGCGCACCGGGCTGCCAAGGCAAGTACAGAAACCCAAGACACATCCAAATGCCCTGCAGTCCAACCCAGCCCTACTGCAGTCACGCTCGTTGCTGAACAGGCATGGCTGCCACTCTTTATGCTCCATATGGACTCTGAGAACGGCTCTCAGCTCTCAGGGAAAATTTGGCAACCCACTAAAAACAAAGTCTGAGTCCCGTTACTGAAAACGGTCAGGGCAAAATACCCCCTCTTCTCTCTCTCCCCCACCATCCTATTTTTTTTTTTTGTCTCTCAGCGTGAGAGATTTGTTTTCCCTGCCACCATTTCCTGTCATCCAAATCCCACCCATCTCCTTCTGGGGAGGAAAGAGACATACACACGCACAAATGAGCAACGTGGCAGAAAGTCCGCCTCACCACCACAGCCCCAGAGAAAGCCAGTTCTTTGTACATGCCAGGGAGCCAAGGGCCAGGGGTATGCACATGCCCCGATATAAGCCTCGTAAGCCATCGGCGCTAGGCATCGCTGCTAACCGGATGCCCAGGAGAGGTGCACACTGCAGCTTATCTGCTCCTCGGTGGCCTGCACTTCTGGACAGGCCGCTGTACTCGTGCCAACCGAAGGTCTCATCGCGGCTGTGCAACAGACTCATTGTGCGGACTTGGGCAGGTCACCGAACCCTCTGCAGAAGCTTCCTTTCAGAAATGCAGAGCACAAAGCCTTGTCTGTGGTTGAGCAGCTAACAATGCAGCCTTCTCCCCCAGCCGCTGCTCAGCACCCATGTCAAGCATACTGCCACCACTCACCTCCAGCTCAGAGCCATCCTGGACAGGAGACAGAGCGTCCACATCCAGCACCTGTTCGGAGAGCCGACTTTGGAAGCCAAAGTCCTAAAGAGAACAAAGAACAAGAGGGTCAGTTCCTGGGGGTCCACAGGGGCCTGTGCTTCCTTCTAGCTCATCTGAGCACCCAGGGCTGAGTCCCTAGTACCAGCATAGAGAAGAACTGCCCAGAGAAAGATGGTTACATCAGGATTCAACAAAATATGCCCGAGAGGTGTGCCACTAAGACAAAAACAGTAGGCAGGCAGCCCCTGCACTACACCTGCTTGCAACGCCAGTGCCAAGGCATGGCCTGGGATACCCACTTCCCAGGCTGGAGGAGTCCAGGACAGGGCAGAGCTCATGCAGCAGAAGAGGAGAGCAGGGAAAGATGGTGCAAAAGACATTCACCAGCTCACAGTTCTCCTGCCGACTGACCTGCTGGAAACAGTTTTTTTGGAGGCTCCAAGCTGAACAAGCCACAGGCCAGGGATTGAGAACTGTAATTCCCAAATGAGTACGCCTGCACGCCAGGGCTGCAGGGCTGAAACACCACAGCCAGAGGACTTCACAGGACTGCTTCCAGCCCGCCTGCTGTTTCATGCTGGTACGTGCCTGCCCCCACCCTGCAGGCCCAGTGGGCAGACACACCATGCGACACATCCAAAGGGCCCCACGGAGGATCTTCCCCCTACTCCTTGCATTTCAAACTTTAATACTGCAAGAGCACTTCCTAAAATTCAGCCTGTGCAAGCTGCCCGCAGGGCTGTGGATCTCCGAGATGTCCTCCCTGCCAGCCCAGGCCTGTGCAGAGCACATGCAGATGGTAGCAGACCCATGGAAAGGTGCTGCTGGGAGCCGTAGCACTTGCCAACACATGGGCTGCTGCTAACGCTGACAAATAATGTAATTCCCAGCAATGCTCTGGCCACACCGCCTGCGCTCCTCCTGGCAGATGGCAATGGCAGCTTCCTGCGGAGATGAGAAGATGCTGATGGGCCTTTTCCTCCCTAGCTCACGGCTACCCTTCTGGATGTTCCCCCACCTCCTCGTGGAGCAGCCAGGTTCCCCACTCCCCTTCAGCAGGTGGGAAGGGGCCATTTCCCACTTGTCTCTGAGTTTTTACACTGCTTGTCACTGCCTTTTTCTTGCCATTCTCTAATTTGGGCCACGAGCTTCAGCTGAGCAAGCTGACCTCATGCATTTGCTGCCCCTCCACACCCACCCAATACACAGCCCACAAACAGGAACTGAGGATGAGCACAGGAGCACAGTGCTGGAAGGGGCCCCACGGGTCTTTGTGTCCACTGGCCACCGTTAACTGAAGGAATGCCCCAAACCACCATTTCAAGCCCTCCCCCACATATACAAGGCACAAAACCCACAACCCTGACAGCACCCCAGCACATGCCAGAGGCAACAGCAAGAAAAAGGCCAGCATTGCCAGGGCAACCACAGGGGAGCAGTTAATTAAACCTGTGCCCTGAACATCCCAAGAGAAGGACTGTGCCCCACACTGCAGAGGATAAGATACTTGCCCCTTTTATATCATCTCCAGCTCCCCTGCGGACGCCTCCCCTTACCACGACTGTACCCCATGCCTCCTGCACAAGACCCTGCAATACCCCGACTTTGCCTGTTCCCCTTGGCTGTATGCCTGCCTCATATCATCCCATAGCCCAGCCTTCCTGACACACCAGTCTCACCCACATTCCAGGCCTCAGCAGGTAACCAGCACCAGAACACCTGCTCAGGCTACTCGACCCCAAGCTGTGTCTGGCTTATGCATGGGGGAGGTCTGGCAGCTTGGGAATCAGAGCTGGGGTTATGCCTTGCTCTGCCACCTACTCACCACAGGACATCGGCCCAAATTTAATCACTCTGGAGGTCCAGCTTGCTCTGTCTTTAAAGCACCAGAGGCCGAGACTGGTCTGACCTGCTCAGGAATGCTTCAAGATGCTTAGGAGCCAGGCAAGCATGCTGCAGAATGCCACGTGGGGCTGAGCCACAACAGCCAAGGGACCATGCAGTAGCTCAGATGGCAGGGCTGCAGGACGCAGGAGATGCCGGCTATGCAACTGGCCGAGTGCTCCCACAAGAACAAAGCCCACACCCCAGGAACCGGTCCCTGACTCACCATAACCTGCAGCAGCTGGCGATCCACATGGTTAGCAAGGGGCGCATCCTTCCCACGCTCGCTGGCCTCAGAGTCCTTTAAAAACCCAGAAAGGAAGAAGTTACAGCATGCGCCTGCTGCCCTCCCCGTTCCGCGGGCATGCCCAACACGCAGGAGGACAACGGCCGAAACTTGGGAAGTCAAGCCAATTGCTATGCACCAGGGAGGAGGAAAGCAGCCACCCCCAAGTCTCTGGGGCATCCAGGGAAGACCTTTCCAAGGGTGCAAGCCACAGCCTTGCCGAAAGCACCATGTGATGCAGAGAAAGGACTTTTGGAGAAAGGAGGGCTAGGAAAGAGCAGGGAAGGCTCTTCAGATGAGCTGCCAAACCCATGGGCTTCCCGAGGAAAGGCCTTGCGGACCGCCCATGCTCCTTCAAAGCCTCTGACAACCCCACATACACCTCACTCCAACCACTGTTCCCTGCTGGTCTCCAGCTTGCCACTCAGCTCCCAGACTCATGTTCCTCTATCCATTTTCCCATCCAGATAGTGCACTACCTCCTATGACTGGCAATCACCCCTAATTAGCAATGCCTGTGCAACCCCTACTCCTAGACACATGTGGGCCTGATCAGGATGATGCTCAGAACAACACAGCACTACAGCACTGAGGGCTGCAGTGCTGCTCCAAAGACTATGGCCAATAACAAGTATGGATGCTAACAGGAGTGGCCCACCGGTCCCAATCCCCAGCACTAGTGCCTGCTTAACTCTGATTCCCTGAGCAGTCTCACTGGCTTCAGCAGGTCTGCTCCCACGAGCAACGCTGAACATGCATGCAAGGCCTTGGGATCAGAGCCATAGGGCTGGAAGGGACCTTAGCATCTCAGGGCCTTATCCCGAGAAGCACCATCTAGGTTCTGCATTGTAACTTCCAAAGCCCTTGTACAGAGAAGGTGCTCTACAAATACTCCATAACTGCAGGAAGAGAGAGCCTGGACTGCGGCGAATCACTTCACCATGGCTCTAATGCCTTCGGATGCCTGCATGTGCATGGCACGCCCAGCTCCTGTGCGTGTCCCCTGCTTCAGCTCAGGCGCTCAACCTGCCTTGCTGGGCCAGCACAGGCTTTGCTCTCACCAGGGACTACACTAGAAGGCACCTTCTGCTCTCCAGCCAGTCAGTTTTTGGGTCTCTCTTCAAAAAGGGTGGGGAAGGTAACTTGGCTACCAGGAGGCACTGTAGACAACCCACAGCTCTGGAAGCAACCTCTGCAGTTCGGTCCTCTCCCCTCTCCCTACAGCATCTCCCCCTTCAGAGCTGTGACACCACAACTGGCAGCACTTTTACACCTTTGCCCCCTCCCCCTGCACAAGCTGACAGAGAGAACACAGAAGGGGAGTGATGAAGAACCACTGACAGCTGGGCTTGGTGTGAACTTTGCTGTAAAACCTGCTTACTCAGTGTAGGCAGCAGCACTGAAAGATTCAAAAGCAGTGTCCCGGTGCCATGTTTCTGCCTGTCAGGTGCTTTGGACAGCACTTTGCATGCATATCAAAGTAGGGTTTCCTAGCTCAAGGCTGGGATTTTGTAGAGAACTGCAATCCCCTCCAAGAAACGCATCAGCGCCTAGGAAAGTGCTTACACACACGCTTCGCTCCAAGCCACCTGCCTACATCCCACCAAAGGCAACAGGATGTAAGCATGTGCTGGAAGTGCCTTCCTATACCTGGGTCTCGGAAAGCCGGGGAGAGGGCAGGACAGGCCAGACCTCTCACACACAGCTCTGCCCAAACAGGCCAGTTCCTTACTTCTCCAGCCTCCAGCTTGCTGTCTGTTTGCAAATCAGCTGCTTCTTCCCTCGTTTCACTTGCAACCTTCCCATCGATGGACACAGTGTCAACAGTGACCGCCAGGCTTGCTGGCTGATCTGCCTCAGCAGCTCCCGCATCTGGAGATGCAGCGCTGGACGGCCCATGACTGCTGGGCGCGTCCGTCCCCGCTGTCGTCTTCTCCCCGAGAGTGCCTGGCTGCTCCTGAGCTGCTGAGATTTCACCTTCTACCTTAGCATCCTCCTTTTCCATTAGCTCAGTCCCAGGGGGTTTCCCATCACACTCCTCTTTGTTTAGGCCAGACAGGCTGCTGTCAGCATCTCTGTAGAGTAGTTTATCTGGAGTCGGAGGGCACGCACCAGCAGAGGACTCCTCTCCTTCAGTATGTCTTGCTTGTAAAGATTCCTTCTAGGCAGCAAGTTAAAGACAATTACAGCTGCACTCCGTGACTGCTCTCCCCCAGCTAGGGGAAGATTCTTATTGCCAAAGCGGGGCTACATATTCCTACAGGAAGGATGGCAAAGCTCAGGGTACTTCAGTGAGGCTGCTTTTAATGTATTCCCTTTTTGGGAAAAGGGGCCTCATTATGCTGAATGCACTTCATCTCCCGGGGCTGGAACTGGCTTTTACTGAGCGGCTCGCACATTCTACGGATGCTAGCAGGCATGCGCTAGGGACGGGGTTACGGCGACCGCAGGCCGTGCCTTGCGGCAGCACTCACAGAACCTCAGTCTGTTTAGTAGCAGAGAGTTGTTTCCAAAGGACAGTGCTTTTGGGTTTGTAATTTTTGCTTGGAACCATCACCTAAGGGGAGGTAAGGCAAGGTGTGTCCAGCACAGTGCCCTCTTCGGCATAGGCCCAAGACCTGGCAGGAATTAAAGGCGCAAGTCTTCAGGTTCAGGAGGACAAAACCAAGCAGAGCACAAAGGCTGGTGCCCCGGGACTGTCTAGAGCTCTCTGCATGGTGCATGCTGCACTTGGGAAAGGGCCCAGGCCCCCAAAGATCCAGCAACGTGGCCTGGCAGCAGGGGTTTGGGACCCTCACGGTAGCGCAAGACCTGGGCAAGCAGGCAACGTCCCTCATCAGCATGCACGGAGCCACCTGCAGCACAGGTGTTTCGTTACTGCTGTTTCATTCCCCCTGCTGTGACAAGCCTCTGTACAGTGCACACCGTGCACGAGTGGCATGTTTTACCAGGGGATTTTTTTACTGTGGTGTTGCTTTAAAGCATCAGCTGCAAGGATCCCTAAGGGCTGTCGCGCCACTGAGGGAGCTTCTCCAGCTCCAGTCGGCCGACCTATTAGTCAAGTTAGGGAAGGGCAGACAGCAACCAAATCACTTTCCCCTAATGCTGCACTTCCAAGTGTCACCACCAATTGAATGGGGAATGGAAGGAAAGCCTCAAGCCCATCTGCACAGCAGCTCCATACCCAGTTAATGGTCCTATAAGCGTGCTGTGCTCTAGCTGGCTGGCCTTCTGGGGCTTGCCAGGGTAAACGAGGGCTGGGAACTGATTTTACAATCTGGTCAATTATCTTCCCTGGTCTCCATGGCACTTCCTCCTTACGTGTGGATGTCAGTGTGCCCGAAGAGACGTGTGCCCACTGGCTGTGCCTCATGGGATGGTCTGCTCTGGAATTTACACTTTTCACCACCGAACGTGCGAGAGAGTGCCTTTTAGGAAGGGCTACCCCACAGCAACGTTCACCCCTCTCCAAGTGGACTGCACAGGGTCCTGACTGCACAGCACGACACATGGACCAAACAGGAGCTACTACCATTCCCACCACACAAATGGGTACGCTCTTCCCTCTGATGGGCACAGGCACCCAGCAGCATTCACTGGAGCACTCGTGGGGCCTCTGCATACAAAGAGGCAGAAGTCTCTTAGGACAAAGCTCCTATGAGCCAGTGGCCCAGCTCAGAAACTGGTTTTCGCACAGCCTCGAGGACAGACGTGGGAAGCCTAGCTGCAATGCTGCGTCTGACTGATCGCTACACACAGCTCTACATAAGACACAGCTATGTGTCTCTCACACAAGCAAAGCCTCCATTTTGCAAGGACAGAGCAAGTCCTTCTAGGCATTCGAGTGCTAGTCAGGTAGTAATTGGCTCCAGCTGGTCCTCCTGCAAGCTGGCACATAATCTACCTGCAGCTGAGTGACACGGTGTGCAACTCCTGCCCGTCAAGTAAATTACTCCTGAACAGAACGCCCCCAGCGATCAGCACAGATCTGAAGCAAACCCAGCTATATGGACGGGGCTGGATTTCAGGAAGCAAGTCTTGATCTGCAGCAGTATCCTGCTTAGCACACACAACAGTGCAACCGTGTCACCCGCTGGAGCGTACACGACTTTCATGGGCAGGATCACCGTGCAGGGAACTTATCTTTATTTTGCTTTCAACCAGCAAACCAAATGCGAGCCCTATGGCTTTTGCTGCTGGAAGCCAGAGTCATGAGTTAAGGCTGTGCTCAGACAGAGCAGCCCACAGAGCGGGGCAGGTTCTGTGGCTGTCAGGAAGGATGCCTTCCCTGCTGCTTTGCAGGGTGGTAAGTCTTTCTCATGCACTGCCAGGGGACAGAGCCAAACAATGCAACCCCTGATGCCACATCATAGCACTAGGAGCGAGCTATTTTCTACTCGAAGCTTCAGTGACATCATGCAAGCCAGTGATGTCAGAGAGCCACTGGTCACCTCTCTCAGACTTCCCTTTTCATCGGCAGAATTCCTCCGGTGCTGGAGCTCGGGTTCTGTGACGTCAGCTAACCGGCTGCCACGGCCGTCCTCCTCTGCTTTGCAGCTGCCCTGATGAACGGGGTAACATCTGCTAGCCAACACGCCCCTGCCGCCCTCTGAACACAGGGCGCTTGCTCATCATGGCTTCCTCCCCTCCCGCCAGTACAGCATGGACTAACGACCCAGAGAGGAATTTAGCATTTTGCATCTTTCTTCTTACTGATGCTGTCTTAATGGAAGACAAATTACATTTCCAGAAGAAAGGCAGAAACATCACCAGTAGGGAATCCCTCGATTCCCCCCACTTGTCTCCGGAACATAACGGAGCTGGGTGGATTTTGATACTCTGAAAGGAGCAGAATCCAGAGCACTTCATTGCTGGACTCAGGCACCTACTTCCCACAAGTTGTTCATGAAAATCCCAGGGACAGCACTAGATGCGCCACACACCCCCAGCCCCAACCCACCCATCCCCGTCTCTGCAGAATGCTTTACTGCATCGCTCTCCAGGTTCACCTCCTTGCCATGTGAACACAGCCTGGTAGCAGATTATCCAGACCACTGGCACGAGAGAGCAACAATTCTCCCCAGAGACCCCTCCACCAGGAGAGCTTCAGTGCAAGGCTGCACAGATACCAAAAGGGGACAGGGAACCCATGTGTGAAGATAGTCACAGCAGCTGCCAGTGGGTGAGCCCGGGCTGGACGGTCCTCAGTCAAAGTGCTTCCTGTGCCCTGCCTGGCAGCATGCAACCCAAACACCCAGGTGCCAAGCTGGTCCCACTACATGAGTTTTGGGGCTGCTGCTTGGTGAATGGTCAAAGCACTGGCCATTTACACATATCCATGGTTCTCCCAAGCACTCCCCAGAGCAGGGGCTCACCCCACCAGCCTGAAAGCACTAGGTTGCTATAGCCATTTTTAACCGTGCTCTCTGCTGTAGTGAAGAGAACAGCGTTGTGAGCAGCCTGTCCCATTCCTGCCCCTCAGCCAGCCAGCGCGGTCTTGGTGTTTTAGGGACAGCTGGGGAGAGGTGCGACTTCCTTGGAATAGGCAGTGCTGCTCTCACGCACGGCCCAGCATGAACACATGCAAGCATGCTGCACTGCGCAGAGTTTGGGTACAGATGGAGTTCTCCCTCCAAACATTACTGTCTGGTAAAAAATATCATTGCTGCATTTTATTTTTCTGTAGCACAGACAGACCACGTGACCCCTGGAGTTGATCTGGAGAGGGATCTCCTCACCATGCACAGCACCAGAGCCCCCCGGACAGTCCGGCTGCCTGCTGTCTTGCACAGTATTCTCCGTCCACTAACCCCCAGGCAGGGGCTCTCAGGCCATTTCCATGTGCTCCAACATCCTCATGTGCACCTAGGCATGTTAATGCCACTCCAGCAATTACCACGTGAACTACAGATAGAGGCAAATCCCTCCAAATGGGCTCAGAAACTAGTTAACTAGCACTAGCCCATCATTTCTGGCCCCATTAAGCACCCCTGTCCTTAGAAAAGGTGCCGGTTTCATAGGTACAAACGACTCATGATGGAAGGAAATCGACTCTCCAGTTCTTCAGCCTCTGGCTTATTCTGATGTTTCACCCCAGTCCCTAACTGCGTTACTCCTTTCCCTCTGCCTCATTCCAACCACCACCCCTGGAGAGCGCTGGATTTGTTCCTGGCCGTGCTCCTTGCTCTGGACTGGCTCGTTTAATTCGGGAGACTCAATTCTCACCAAACACTCCTGCACTTTGGCACGGCACTAACACCATTGCTTAGTGTCTCTGGACATGGACTCTTTGCCTCTTATCCCTGCCTGGATTCTTACCAGCTTGGTAGGCAATCTGGCTTCTTTAATGCTTCACCCCAGCACTTCATATGCTCGTCCACGTAGGGCCTGTTTTACAAGCCCTCTCTCCTCCCTCTGATTTTGTTCATAATAAAACTGGAGAATGCCTTGGGATGCAGAGCGAGAGTTGGCCAACATCAATGTTTTTCTACTGCCATCTTATGGAATTACAAGTGAATAATAATTTCCAGTGCAGTGTTAACAACCTGAAGATACCATCCATCCTGGTAACTAGTTTTTAAGATGGAGGGAGCCTCACTGGTGGGTGAGAACTGCCATTTTATCACAGATTCTCAAAGCCCCTCCACATCAGTGAAATGCTAAGAGTGCCCTGCTCCTAGACACACGAAGGTAGGGTAGATTTGCACCTTGTAGACTAACTAAACATTTCAGCGATGAACTGGGGCCCGTCAGGCTTCTTGGTGCTCTGGAGATAATAGGAGCATATAGCCTTCCTATTCCTGTCTAGGTTAATGCAATTCCTTGCACGCTTTGCCCAGCAAAGCTAACAAGCTCTCTGGCAAAGTGCTTTAAAGCTCAATTTCCATGCACCATGAAAAAGGATAATAAAAAGACTGTATAGCATCTTAAAAGAAATTAATTTGCCTTTTAGATGCTGGAGCCAAGTTTCCCCAGTAGCAAGAAGGGATTAACATCGATGTGAACAGTTGGGTCTGATCACTACAGACTGTTTGCAATGCATGCCCCACTGTCTCCCTCTCATCTTCAACCTGATCACCATAAAGTATGCATGTGCAAGGAGCATGAGATCCTGGGGAAAGAAATGCACCTCCTCAAAGCTGGATGTGCAGTGTCACTGGTGAGGCATCACATTTGAAGGAAGAAATTTAAATCAGCAACATACAGGGACAGTGACAAAGGTTCATTAAGGAATGGGCCATCTGCAATACTCATCTGTCACCACAAAAATCACAGAACTGGAGTGCTCTTGCCAAAAAGAGGGGCGATGTTGAAACAGCAGGTCCAGGAAGGAAAAAAAACCCTGGTGACATCATGAAAATACCGTTTTCCTTACTGAACTTGAGAATGCCATTTCTCTACACTTCCTAGAAAAGGAAATGAGGCAACCAAACCCTGTCCAGCACAGATGCTACCTGATGACAACCTCAACTCAGAAGAGGGGGGCCAAAAGGATGGTTGTGGCCCCTTAATCTTCTTCACCATCCCACAGCATGACAGGAAGCGTGGTAAGCATGGCTCAGAGCAGTGAGGTGTACTGATTCATTTAAGACAACAAGAAGCCACATGGAATCATTCACAGGAATACAAAAATGTTTCATAACTGCAAATATTATGATTAACTGTCTTTTGTAAGCAGAAATATCCTTCTGAGCACACAAACCAAAACATGCCCCTGCGCCCACTTGAGCGAGCAAGCACAGTATTTTAAAGATTTCTAATGAGGCAGGCAGGAACCTTCTGCCCTGCAATGTCACAGAAGAGTTCGATACCATCATGCTTTTCAACAGCACTTAAACTGCTCAGTAGATATGTAGTCAGCTGCTCAGAGTAGCTGTTTCAGTGAGTTCTTTTTTGCTCAGTTAATCATCGAAGTAGAATCTGAACAAGGATATTTACCTGCCTAGTTCCATTCGTTAGCCATATTTAAGTGTACCTATACAACAAAAATGAGAGTGGTAATTTTTTTTGCTATTGTTTTTAAATGGGAATTTTTATTTTCCCACTCCCACTCACAAAGAACTCAAGGACTGGCTAGATTAGACTCAAACTTTCCAAGCAATTAACCTTTGGAAAGAGATCTATCAATAAGTACGTCATTCCTAAAGCTGATTTTTTAAAAAAATTTTTACAGCATCAAAACAAATTACTCACATAAACCTGTTATACGGCCTGAATGATGGTGACTTCTATATAGGCATTTACACCGCTACAAAGAGCTATTTTATGGCAATGCAAGAGAACGTAAAGGCACGAGCATTATTTTAAAAATGTAACCCTGGGACCTCATTTACAAGGCCTGTTTCAACCAGATGGTCTGTATCATTTGCAGACTGGGCATTAATGAATACAAAAGCATCTCAACTTCCAAGCCCTTCTGCTGCATCCAAGAATGTTCACTGATTCATTACCACCTTGGCCTGAACTGGCCAACGTCTCGCCCAAGAACCAGCCACGACTCCAAGGGCGCTCTCTTCTTACCTCATAATCGAAACTGCTTCCCAGGGCACTGATGTCCACGTGCACATTTTGGAGCAATCCTGCTGTTCCTCGCAGACTCTGTGTGTTTGAAGAAAAGAAACCATCACTGAGTTCTTATCTGGACCCAGTTTTAGACCACGTGGGAAGGAATTCTAAACGCTGTACCAAGCAGATGTGTGGTAGCAGAACCAGACAGCACAGTATTGAAACAGCACAATGTTAGAATCCAATTCATTTCAAAATTGCCCTCTGATGGCTAAAGACCCATGGCAGGAAGGTGTGCCATGCAGACAGCCACCCCAGGAGAAAGGAACCTCAGGTGGGCAGGAAGGATTTGACCCTGACATCATCTGCAACTGCCTGTACCCTAGAGCACATGAACAAGGTGCTCAGTAAGGCTGAAGACATTTACTTCACTATGGCCCTACAGACAAAATAGGGTTAGATGCCCTAGAAGGGGCAAGGCAAGCTTGACAAAAGCTTGAATTGGTGGGGGTCATTGCAGGGCTCCTGGCACAGCTATACGAGCACTCATGGAGCTCCGGTCAGGTGCTGGATGACTGGAAAAAGGCCAATGTGGTCCGCATTTACAAACAAGGGAGAAAGGAGGACCCAGGTAACTATAAGCCCATCAGTCTTACCACAGTCATGGGGAAGATCTTTGAGAAAATTATCCAGGAGCACATCTGCAAGGGACCAGCAGGGGAGATCATGACCCCAGCATCCGTTCCTGCCCAAGGCAGGGGGTCGGACTTGATGATCTGTTTAGGTCCCTTCCGGCCCTACCTACTATGATACACCTAGAGGTTTTGGAGCAACTGGCTATTCCATGTCGCTAGTCCCCCCTCAGTGATGGCCTATCATTGTATACTCCACAGGAATTCCCTGTACCATTCACAAAATAATGCACAGACCCAGTGCACTTCACACATCTCACTACCTGATTCTCACTCTCTTCATCTTCATTTTCTCCTTCATCTAGAGTCATGAGATTTAAGAAGTCCTTCTTCTCGTGGATGAACCCCAGCAGGCTCTTGGCTTGGCCAGTGGCTTTAAGGGTCTGTGCAGGCTGCAAAGTCAAAAAACAAATGAAACTTAGAGAAGACAGGCGTACACACAGGCTTCTTGAAGCATGGCAACCCAGTCAACAGCACAGTGCTACCCCATGCCACAAGCTTCACCAGCCTAGCAGCACACCACCAAAAAGCTGCACGTTAACTGAACTGTCCGAAGAGCACTTGTTTTGCAAAGGCACTGTGAACAGACCCTAACTGGCTACTGATGTGGCAGTTTCCTTTAGGCTGCACTTTTAATTAGGGCAAGGATTCCCTCCCAAGCCAGAATCTTCCTGCCCTCCACAGATATTAATTCAACAGAACAATTTGAAAGTGATTTTCCTCCCATTTTCTCGGAGATGGATTTGAAGCTCTTAGAAGGTGGGAGATTAATAGCTCAAGGGACCAGGGAGGGTTGATTTAAATTGCCAACTTTAATCAGCTTAGAAATCAGCAAGCAGGAAACCCTGATTTAAGGCTTTGATTTTTATCTCATTTTCATTTGAACTTTTGCTATGTTCTGCTTTTGTCTGGCAAAACTGGTACTTGTTCTTGTTAGCAGGGAGGACACAATACATGCCCACTTATTGAAACAATGACATGGCATCATTTATTCAGAGGACTAATTTTTTACAGTTTTATTGACTGTTGTATACAGGATTTCTGTCAGGCTGCACATGGATGGAAAGCAGAGCCTCATCCGCAGAATCCACAGCTGTCCAGGCTGGTTCAGTATTTCAACCCACCCTACTTCCAGGTGTTTAGCCAGTGATTTCTTCCAGTTCAGTGGCCTAACAGCCCAACATGTGCTGCTCAAATAATTGTCTCTATTCAGTTTACATGCCACGAATAGAATAGGGCAAGTTTTGGCCTTAACATGGGTCGGTTTCAAATTAAATAAGAAATTATGTTCCTGAAAAATGCACTTAATAGAAATCGCTGGTGATGTATGTCCCCTATGCAGCATCTGGGCCTGGAGCACCACCTACAGCAAAGGCTATTTTCCATCCCCTTAATGTGCCTTGCTGCTTCCTGCTGTTGAACATCTTTATTCAGCCTCCAGGGTCCTCTCTGCACTGACCAGCAAGGGGCCGATGTGGACACTCCTGCTAGAACGTGGCTGGGCCCAACTGACTTTCTTCCCAGATGGGGATGAGATGCAATGAGAGCCCCTCTGTCCCACTGCCTAAACAAGCCAGCTGTTCTCCAGGACTGGATTTAAAAGAGAACATGTGGGTGCTCACAAACCAGGCTGACAGGCACTGATATACAAATGGAGATGGCTAGAAGACAGGGAAACATTGCAAGCAATTCTTATGTGATACAACATCGCACTGACTGCAGTAGGAGCATGCATGGATCACTGCCATTTAGAGGGGTCCAGGAAAAGAGAGGAAGAGAGTGAGGGGGAAAAGACACATAGACAGAAACAATATTTCCAAAGATGACAGGACAGAAGCCTCTGAAACGGGAGGCTAGGTGCCACTTCCTAAACAACCTGCTAGCTGTTGCAACCATTCTTCCAAATGTGGCTCGCTGCCATGAATGCAACCCAAAAGGATTTGCAGCTAAGAGGGAGAGTTACCCCAATTCCACCTCTGATCCCTGGACTGGGTTCCACAAAGTTTCCCACAGCAGCACTGAGCGGGCCACGGAGCGCACTGGCAGGAACATCCACCAGACCACGTAGCGGAGCAAGATTCCCCAGGGGAGCCTGGGCAGGAGCAAGCAGAGAACCTGGAGACTAGGATGGGGACAAGATCAGTGCTGGTCCGCTGAGAGAAAGAACATGCATGACATGTAAATTATGTGCATACCAGAATGAAAATAAATCTCCCTCCCACCTAAACCCTGTCTGCCGACATTTAAACCACCCCCACCGGAAAGCTGTTCCAAGCGAGTGCAAACACGTCAGATGTATAAAAAACAGCAGGTTGGCTGACTCATGCGTACAGCCCTCCCAAAGGCCACGATGAATGCATGGCTGCTTGTTTTACACTAGCGAGGAGTCTGATTTACAGAGCTAATAGGTAGTACTCCTGAGCTGGAGTTAAGGGACAGGACACAGTCAACATTCACACACAGGCAGAACTACATGCGCAGCCACAAAGAACACCGCACGAATGCCTCGGATGGGGTCAGGATCTCTGTCCTATCGTCATCGAATGCAGCCGGATGGTACTCCCCCCATTCAGTCCCTCAGCTGCTCTGTATAGTACCGAGTAAGTGAAGCAGAGGCCAAGGCTGACAGATGAGATTGCTTCAGTGGAGAAAAAATGATTAACATGTATTTATAACTGGACACTTATTCATTCATGGCAGTTAACACTTTCAGTGAGGATGAACAGAAGGGTTAACAATGCTTCTGCTCTGGGCACAATCTTTCCTCCCATTAGTTCTTCCCATGCCGGCAGTGTCCCACACCAGCTTCCCACCCACAGGGGAGAAGGACCATAGGGCTGCCCGCAGGAAGCAACAGCAGCCGGGCAGTGGAGCTAACCAACAAGACAGGGCACAGGCTCTGCCTGGCATTAGACTGCTTAGTCCTCCAGTCACCCACATGGGGATCAGACCCCTACTCCCCAAGTGTCACCCTGCAGCACAGTAAGACACAGCAGTCTCACCCAGATGGCCAGAAGCCTCCTGCCCTCTGTCAACTGCAATATGCACCTCTTTCTGAGACAGAAGTGGGGCTGCAGTGACACCTTTAGCTGGAAGGTGAAGCTGTCCAGTGGCAGGCAATTCTGTTGCAGAACTTCACCCAGAGGTTCCTAATGATCTCTGTACTGTACGTAAGTACAGCCACACTCCCCTCCCCCAAGCAATTCCTCCTCTTCCATGAGAGCAAGTGTGAGTCCCATCAAAACACTGACATCAAACAGGACAAGTGGGAGGAGAGGCCAAAGGCAAGTGGCCTGATGAGAAGAGGAAAAATTTGAATTACACTCTGAGGGGTGGTCGAAGAGCTACGGGCTGACTCCTGCCACAGAAAGCTCAACTCCGCTCCCCGCACAATGGAATCCCTCATCCAACAGTTCGCACCTCGCGGTGCATTGCAGCACAAGGTAAGCTGGAGGGGAATGCATGCTGCAGCGATGCCCACAGTATGCCAGCACGGCTCTGTGTCACTGCTGTGACAGAGCATGTGCACCGGTAAATTGGAGCCTCCTGTGCTCTGTGTTTATATAAAATTACAGACTGAAAACACAGTTAATTCACTAGCACGCTGGGGGACAGGGAAAAGGAGAAAGCTGCGCGCTGATCTCTCCTCTGCCGAGCCGTCGCCAAATCAGCAGTTATAGGGTAAATTACACATTCTGGCCTTAACTAATTACTGTCTACAGATGGCCATTAACTATGTGTATGGAGCTGTGGATGTTAGTTGTCCTTCAGCAAAGATAAACTCACTTCCATCGGGCTAATTAAAACTTTCAGGATAATCTGCAGTTTATCTGATATTTATAGTCATAGTTATTATCAGCTAACTGAGTGCTACCACATGCTGGTAATTAGAAACTGGAGCTAGCAATTCGGTGGAGTCGCAGCTGGATACCAGCAATAGGGGAGCACAGCAATTCATTTACATTACACACACTGACCTTTTATTTTATTTTATTCCTTCAGAACAAACGATTTGGCAAGTTCTGATTAAACCGTAGCAATTACTTATGAACAAAGAACAAAACAGCCCAGAATGTTCCTCGCAGTGATGTGGCAGATCCTGCTGTATGCAGCAGAGGAAAGAGCCTTGCATTAGATGCTATGGCCTCAGCCCCAGCTCCTCCTGCCCCCCCAGTGGCATACAACATCGTTGTCTGGCTTGCAACAGGGACAGCGCTCATTCCTACCACCCGTTGGGTAGAAGGAATGAGGACCAAGCACAGACAGCTGCAAGCAAGAGCAAATCAGCTGGGGCGTTTGACATCCAAGATCAAGCATCATCTAGATCCAGAAGCTTCTATGTTTAATTAACGAGGCAATCGTAGCCAAGGACAGATGTCCTAATAGTGGTAGCAAAGGAACAAGGACCCTTTGCATTTGCTGTTTTATCAAGGCAGGAAGAGTGAAGAATTTGCTCCGCAGTATTCAGAGCCAAAGGCAGCAGGAAAGCACTACCCTGCACCCAGAGCATGCTCCCACCTCCCCATGCCAACTGCCAGGCTAGCAGTGGCAGGGCTTTGAAGGGCCTCTTGGATCCCTTTGGTTCCCCAGGGGAGGGGTGGAAGGAGGATGGGAGGAATGCTCTCAGGCTGGCACCATGCCCTTGCCTCTTTGCTGCTCTTCTTTTCACCAACCCAGCCAGTTTGAACAACGGCCTGGGACGCAGGACACCACGAGCAGTGGTGGAGGTTAACACTACAGAGTCTCGAGAAGCTACTCATAATGCCTGCCTGGGATCATGGGGCTAGTCCACTCGCCCTTCTTCCCCCGCAATAGTATTTAACAGGATAGATGGCCACGTGGCTACAGTGCAGGGCTGACTCAGGAGACCAAAGTCCATGCCTACATCTGCCATAAGCACCTTGTACAGCCTTACCTGCATCACTCTCCCTCTGGGCCTTGGCCCCTGTCCAGAAAAGGTAATGAGGAAGTGGTTCCATCTCCCCACATTTGGCTGTGTGGTCTGTTTGGACTACAAGTTCCCTAGGACAGGGAATGTCCCTCACTCAGTTTTTGTGCATCACCTATTCCAGGGGGGTCCCAATCTTAACTGGAGTCTCCGAGCAAGCGAAACACAGATGATAAACACGCTGTAACTCTGTGTAGCCATGCCAAGGTAATTCCCCACTGCAACTGACCCGAACTATAGTTTAGAAGGTAAGAGTATTAATTCTTCAGTGGTAGAATAATACAAGAGACAACTAACTACTTACCAGGCAAGGAAGATCAGCTGCAACCTGCGCCTCTGAAGCTTTAAGCAACCCAGTAAAATACCTGCCACATCAGCCCAGGGGACTATTACCTCTGTTTGGTTTTTCCTTCCTAACAATTAGCTAAGCGCAGAAAAATACTGCAGTCTCATGTCCTCAGAGACCTCATCATAGTCCCATTACGGAGGGGGTTGAAAAGCTAAGCTGCCTACCTCATCGTTGCCTGCTCCGTCCCAAATCTCTGCTGTTCTGCTCCGGGTCAGCTCCACTTCCACCTGCCAGTAGAGCCTGCTGCTTTCCTGGCACTCAGCTGTCTGACAAAGCCAAGCCGGAGGAACTCGCAACCCCCCGGCCAACGCCTCTCCCTTCAGCACATCAGGGGCTTGCTCTGGCCTGCCCTCTCTTTCCTCTGCTTCTTCTTGTCCTTCCTCCTCATCCCTCTCTTGTGCACCAGACAACCCACCAAGTTCCATCCTCAAACTGGCATGGGCACACTCCTGAGGCATGACGAGGCGGGGAATTAGCAGGGGCCCCTTAGCAGAAGCAAGCAAATCCAGGTGATCATCAGACTCACAGGAACTCTGGAGATCCCAAGAGAAGTTACTGCCCTCTCTCCAAATCAGTGATGCAACATTATCAGCTACATTGCTCGAATGGCTGCTGCTGCATTCAGACCCCACACCACTTGCTGCCTTCTCCTCTTCTGGTGCAGCACAAGGGAAAACTGATTCAAGGAAGCAGGTTCCCATCAAAGCAGAAGCATCCACTCCGCTTCCTCCCCCAGCCTCTGAAGCACGCAGCGTTGTCTCTAACGTCACACAAGGGATGGCCAAGAGACCATCGTCCTTGGATGCTCGCAGGCATGTATCGGGTTCAGCCACCCTTGCCCATTCTGGCCCCTCTCTGCCCTGCCTGCTGCTGGTCACAAAGCACTTGCCCAGCCTGGTGGTTGGACTCAACACTGGCTCATGAAGGTTTTTTTCCCTCCTGCTCTCCACCATGTCGCTGTGTGAGCTCAGCTCTTCTGGGAGACTCTGAGCAACCTCTTCCAGTAAGCGCAGGTCTTCCATGGGGCTGACATGTAGGGGAATCGCTTCACATGTCTTACCATGAAAAACAGGGTTAGAGGCACAAGCAGCCAAAACAGCTTCCCTGACTGTGGCTTGCAACAAACCTGGACCTCGCTCCTCGTCACCAGCCGGGCCCCTAGATCTTTCTCTGACTGGCAAATCATTTGCAGGCTGGCAGACACATTCTTCTGTCATTTCTTTTTTCTTCTGGTTTTCAGACATCTGTTCTTTCACAAATAACAGGCTTTGGGCCTCAAAGACCTCTTGGGAACCAAGTATGGTTTTCCCATTTTCAAGGTCTGGTGACGAGGATTCCTTTGACACATAGGAATCTACCTCCGTTGTCCGAACCACATCTAAATATTCAGGTTCAGAGTGAGAAAAATAAAGACAACGTTCCGCTGATTTGTCTGGGCCCTGCTGGGTGCCTGCATCTGATTTGCTAAAAGATGGACCTCTTCCTAAAATCTCCAGATCAGCTAACATTTGGCAAGTTCTGCTAGGCTTGGATGAAAGAACCGGCTGCAGATTGTTTGGTTGAGTGCCTGAAAACAGTGTGTCTGAGTCACTCGCCTCTGATGACTGGCTCAGGGTCATCCTTTCACCTTTCTTAAGGAAGCCCTCGTTCTTAATCTGGCTATTCTGTTCTAGATCAGGACTCAAGCACCAGGAGGGCAGGATGGGAGAGGATATCTGATAAAAGGATGTTGAAGGAAGAATCCCTGGCTCTGGCTGCATTTCCTAAGTGGACAAACATTAGCAAATAACTTAAACATGAACCATACAACTACACATTCACTCTTATCTAATGCCCAGAAGGCCACAGGAGAGAGTCTGCTGCACATGAAGAAGAAACACTCTATTGAAGTCCCTCATATTGGAGACTGGAACCTTTTCAATCAGTCCCCACCTGGGGGATTTCCACCCACTGCAGTCCCTGGTCCTCTGGGTTTGATGCGAGGCAGACCTTCTCAGCCAGGCGTGCATCACGCTGCTGGGTAACCTGGGAAGTTCTCCATATTTGGTAGGGAAGGGATTGTTTGCCAAGGAGGGGAGGGTTGGTTATTCTTGTTGCCAACCAACAGTGATACATGCCAACATACTGCTTTTTGAGGCTGCACACGGTGCCTAGAAACCATAGTGGCACGTGCCTGGTCACTGCATAAACAACACCTGTCATTCTTTTCAATGAGACAAACAGCCCCAAATGTTTTACAACCCCCCGCTCCATACACACACATACACACGTGCGCACGTGTGTGTGCATGTGCATCCCATCACAGCGCAGCCACTGCTCTAATCCCAAGAGAAGTGCCAGCAGCTCAGGGCTCGGAGCTCCTGCGCTGCAAGGGTGAGGGATCTGATGGGGACCCACAGCGCGAGGAGTCTGGAGGGTCCCAGCTTCCCCTTCCATGTGCACTGCAGCCCATTCCACCTGTCTGCCAACCACCAAAGCAGCTGGATGCCTCAGCCGAATCATCTGGGAGGAACAGCTTACTAGAAAGGCCTATAAAACCAGAGCAGCTGCCCCTTGGGCCTGTAGCAGCCTCGTATTGATTTGAGAAGGGGTTTACAAGCTGCTCAGGCCATCACAGGGCCCTTGCAGCAGCTCACTGTCATTCCCTGCTTCTGGGAGCAGGCATGGGAGGACAGAAGAGGCCACTGAACCCTGTTTTCCTTCTAGCTCGGAGCCCATTGCCCACAAGGCCAGAGGGGGCATCAAAGAAACCCAGATGCTGAGCTGTGGGGAAAACAACCATAAGAACAAGAAGAGTTGAGAGATGGAGAGCATGAAACCAGTCATCACTGCTGCCCAGGGAGTTGGCTCTGTTTTTTGGGGGGGTTTTTACCTCAAAGGACATGGTCCTAAGACCAAAATAAGTGTAAAGCAGAAGCACACATGCCCTGCTTAGCTCTGCACAGCAGCCACGTTGCCCCACGACGTGTGGGCAGACTCATCGAGCCTACAGCCTAATACCCCAACAATACCCCGGCTCCACGGCTGCCATCTCTGCTGGACAGCCATTCCTGTCCCCGCTTCCCAGGCTGGCCCTCCCTGCGTGCCCGAGGGGCCCAGACCGTGGGGCATACTCACAGCAGCCGGCTTCAGCAGCTCTCTCTCTTTCTTGTCTTTCTTTTCCTTCTTTTCTTTTTTCTTCTTTTTGTCCTTTTTCTTGGTGTCACCATGGGCTGAGAGCTTCTCCCGCTCCTGGACCACGAGCTCCCGGTAGTGCTCATCGCATGGGTGGTCCCAAGTCGACTGGCCATTGGCGAAGTTGAAGTAATAGATCTCACCAGTAATGTCTTGACTAACATGGAGGAACAGGACAGGCAGAGAAGAGAAAAGGGCTTCAGTTCCGCTCACACATACAGCATGCCCCAAGGCAGCAGTGCAGGCACAGGCCCTCTTGTCTGAGGGGCACAAGGGCTGCAGAGACTTTAGCCCCCCACTGCAAGCATGGCAGAGGAGGAGCAGTGTCCCAGCTAAGCCCATGTGCACAGAAGGAGGAAGCAGCAGCAGCCCCTCCACCACCACTGCCCAAACCGCTGCCTCTCCCTCTCCCAGGTGAAGAGGGCCACAGCATCCCTCTAAAGGGTGCAGAGGTATCAGACCAGTAGTAAAGCAGGCACATGGTGAGTTGACTTCCCTCTGGTGACCAAGCGTGCCTGTTGCACAGCTGGAAAACCGAGGAGCCCTGGCATCGTATCGCCAGCTCCAACCACAAGGCTCCTGTGTCCATTTCTTAGGCTACCACGTGCAGAGGTCACCAGTCTACTCTAGCAGCTGCTCCTCTAGAGCTCTCACCAGGGCTTCCACTCGGGAGGCAGAGGGGCCACGATACCTTCCTTGGCCAGCCACATCAACTCCGGCTCCTTCTCAGGATCGATCCCAATCCCCCGTGCATAGTCACAGATTTCTGTAACACAACGTGGGGACAGCGTGACAGACAGCACACACCACGCGGTACCACACAACCCGTCCCTGGCAAAGTGGAGGATGGCTGGGGTAACCCCGGTTCCAAGGACACACCAAGCTGGAAACAACATCCCACGTGCTTGGGAGCATCTCGCAGCCCGTGGGCAAGGCTGGATACTGCGCAGGTGGGAAGAGAGAGGCAGCCAACACACAGGGGAATGGAGACCACAGGCCTCGGCCCCCCTTCGGCCCAGCATATGCCAACATTACCTGCATGAAGTCAATGCAGCTATTTCAGGGAAAACTGGCGCATGCAATAGGACAATCGCCTGAGGAGCCGGGTGTCCGGCTCGTACCATTAAGTCTATCATCTCCCCTGGGCCAGGCCTCCCCAGCTTTCCTACTGCAGTCTGGCCACAGGCAGCTGCTTAACTCTTGCCTGCTACCAGACACAGGGCTCAGGTGCCTATATACTAATGCTAGGAGCATGGGGAACAAGCAGGATGAACTGGCACTCCTGCTTGCAGAAAACACCTATGACTAAGTGGGGCTAACAGAAACCTGGTGGGATTCATCCCACGACTGGGCAGTACATATTGAGGGTTACAGGCTGTACAGAAAGGACAGGGTGGGGAAAAATGGGGGAGGGGTTGCGCTCTATGTCAATGAGCAATATACATCGACCCTCATCAAGACAGAATCAAAGGATGAGGAAGTAGAAGGATTGTGGGTTAGGCTACATGGGGGGCAAGGATAAAGGGATTTGGTGGTAGGGGTCTGCTACAGACCCCCACATCAAGGGGAAGAACTAGATTTGGGGCTCCTGAGGCAGCTCTCGGAGACCATAAAAGCTAAAGAGGCGGTAGTCATGGGGGACCTAAACTACCCAGACATCTGCTGGGAGACGCAGACAGCAAAGCCCCACCGCTCACGCAGGTTCCTATCCTGTGTACAGGACCTCCACCTGACACAGGAGGTACACGGTCCCACCAGGGGGAATGCCATACTGGACCTGGCATTGGCAATGGGGGATGACATGGTAGGGGACCTACAGATCGGTAGCCATCTGGGGGACAGTGATCACCTAATAATAGAATTCATCATAAGATGTCGAGTGGGCAAGGTAACTAGTAGGGTGAAAGTGCTAGACTTTAGGAAAGCTGATTTCAATGAACTCAGGCGATTAGTCAAGGACGCACTGCAGAGTAGGAGTTTTGAAGTGATGGGAGCCCAAGAAGGGTGGCTGTGCCTTAAGGAAATGATCCTTCGGGCACAAAGCAAGACGATCCCC